AGGCAGCGTTTTCCTCAACTTCAGGGGTTTCGGGGGGGTGGGGGGGGGTTCGGGGGGGGTGGGGGGGGGGGGGGGCTGATAACGTCCCTTGGCTTGCATCCTGTTACAGCTCCTTGCTGACACGTGCGCGCATGTCGACCGAGCTGCCGATGTCAGGATTATCAGGACAACAACAAGAAAGAAGTATTGCTCACAGCTACTCCTGAATCTAATGTGCACAGAAGCCATAAAAAAAAAGATAGTCATGCTAAGTATTGCCTACTGCCCTGTGCTTACTACTCCTAAAGGTAATTTTCACAGAAGCCATATAAAGTAAGATAAGCATGCTAAGTACTGCCTACAGCCCCTTGCTTGGTACTCCTAAAGGTAATTTGCACAGAAGCCATATAAAGTAAGATAATCATCCAAAGTATTGCCTACCGCCCTTTTTGCTTACTACTCCCAAAGGTAATTTGCACAGACGCCATATAAAGTAAGATAAACATGCTAAGTATTGCCTACAGCCCCTTGCTTGCTACTCCTGACTGTAATTTGCACAGAAGCCGTAAGAAGTAACATGATCATACAAAGTATTGCCTACAGCCCCTTGCTTACTAGTCCTAAATGTAATTTGCACAGAAGCCATCAGAAGTAAGATGAACATGCTAAGTGTTGCCTACAGCCCCTTGCTTACTACTCCTGACTGTAATTTGCACAGAAGCCATAAGAAGTATACTCCTAAGTACAACTTGCCCCGAAGCATAGGGAGTAACATAATCCTTTCCAAACAACCCACTAACGCAGACATGTCTACATAAAAATGAATAGTTTTAGCTCTTGCTCAACAGCCACTTTTTCTTAGAAATCGTACAAAAACCTGAGGAATATGCTAATTTTAACCCTCTAAAGTCACACGGCGCCTCGTGCGCGTGTGACCTAGTTTTAGTTTGTGAATGCTTTTATAATAATATTATAAAATCATTCTTTTTGGATGACAATATATGTAGATGAAATTGTTGTATCGTTTAATGTTAATGACGGGATACGAAGTATCCCTTCAGGGCAAAGCCGTGTCAACTATAAGTATGAATATAAATTGAATGATATTAAATACTGTCCTAATTGTAAGATATGTCGTGATATACAATGCTTTCGTAGTTTCAATAAAGGCAAAGAGTATAACAAATTGTGTAGGAGATGCTTAAATAGCACGAAGGGTTATAAGCAACAGCTATGTCTTTATAAGGGTTTTTAAACGCGTTTTCTTAAAACTTTTACAATTTTTTAATCTAAAACTTTTATATAGTATGAGCGATGTAGATGACGCTTCGGCAGATGCCTCACGATGCTCTCGCGACGTTGTAAAACCAATCAAGCGCATCAGCAGTCAAAAGGTTTTAGAGAAGCTAGAACTTATTGAGACAAAACTTGAAGAATTACTTAATAAACCGAGACAAGTTAAAAAACAATTGATAAAGATAGTGATGCTTACAATAACAAGAGAAGCGTATATGTTAACAAAAAATGACAAGGACATTAAGTCTCCAAAGAAGGAGACATTAGAATATTATGAGATTAAGTTTGACGACCAATAGAGAGCGTATTAGACATCGTATTTTACATAAAACATATTTTACAAAACACATTTAAAGAGTTAAGAACTCAAGATAGTAGAAAGGGATGACTGAAGATACCAAAAGGTGTATTCGGTGTAATAATACCTACTCGTCTGATATGTTCCATGTTAGAGTTCGTATATGCGATACGTGTAGAGAACAGAATAAAATAAAGACGGACGAAACCAAAAAGCAATGGAAATTAAATAATCCTGAGAAGGTAAAAGCATACAGACAAAAGACTGAAGAAAGGTATGCCGATGAAATAGAAAGAAAGGAAAAAGAAATACACACAAAGCGAAGCAGGACGCGCAAAAACACCAGAATACCAAAAAATCATTTACCATTGTGGTATATGCGGTTATGACATCAAGAAATACAAGAAATCACAACATGAGAAATCCAAAAACCACCAAGAGCATTTACAAAGAAACATGACAAACGAAAATCTCGCAGAACCAAAGGGGATTGCAAAACTTTATGCCACAATGAATGAGTAAACACTAATAGCGTTTTACTAATTAAGTTTTGTAAAATCCTATGTTGTAGCAGTTCCGGAGACAGGGTTATAATCTTTTGGGGATTTTTCTATCAGGGTCTTACCCCACACCTCATGTTAGGATATTGGCTATTTTATAGATTAGGTTAAGTATTGTTTCGGTGCTTTGGGTTTTGGGTTGTGCTTGGATTATTGTATATGTTTGGTAGGTTGCTTTGTTTCGGGATTGTTGTATTGATTGTTGGGAGGTGCTTTGTGTTTTGAGGGGTTTAAGGGTTGAAATGTTAGGCGGTTTGAGAAATGGGGTGAACGTGTAGGGGGGGTATATGGCATAAGATGTGGGGTTAGCTTCTGCTTGCTCTTAACCCCTTCAACCCAAACCAACAACAAAGCAATCAATTGCTCTGCCGATGCCCCAGGCAGGGCTGCTGGCTGCGGTCATTGAGCCTTCTGAAGGCTCTGCATGTGATCTTCGTCCTTCCTTCCGAGAGGCTGGTGCTTTGGGTTTGGGCGTTCTATAAGGGTTTAGGATTTTGGCTTTAGGGTTTCGATATGGGTTTCTGAAGAGGACCAAAAAGAATTTCAAGAGGGTTTGCTATAAGAACCAAGTTTCGGGCTCGGAATTAAGGGTTTCCGTGACGATTTGAGACGGGTTGAAGATGGCTGGTAGGGTTGGATGATGCTTGTCTGCAATGGCTGGTATGGGGAGTTGGGATGCTCTTGTTTTGTATGGTGCAAGGCAAGCTCTGCACTGCCTCAGCTCCTACCTCCAAAGCGTGCTTTTAAATTGTGAATCCCCAGACCCATATTAATGAGTTTATTAGCACCCTAGAGACCCAAACCCTCCGAAGTAATGGGCACCTGGGGAAGTCTACATATATCACACCGGCTGATAGATGTGAAGGAAGCCTTTCAACAAGCTAGGCCTTCACAAACCAACGCAGCAGTCGGAGCCCTTGTAAGCACCCAAATCCCTTTAAACCCTAAACTTCCTAATTCAACCCTACACCTAAACCCCTAAACCCTAAACTTCCTAAGCCCTAGCCCCTAAAAACCCCCAAACCCTAACCCACAAACACGAAACTCTGGGAGCCATCGTTTCCAGGAGCTTTGCGTGCTGCAGCGCCGTCACTGGGCTGTTTAGTGATATACGTTTGTTTTTGGATTTGTTGTCTCCGGTTCCTGTTTTGATATGATTATAAGTCAACCCTAAACCCTAAACTGTTTGTTATGACATGTTTTGTCTCCAAGTTCGAAGATTTTGTTATGATAGGTCGACAAACCCAACAAAGTCTATCCCAAACCCTAAACTACTTGATAGTAGTAGCTGAGTAGGTAGCCTTTTTCCTTCTGGTTTACAAACTCCTGCCATAAATCAAAAGGTTAACCTTGTTTTGGGCTGGATATTGTGCGCGACCGTTTCCCAGTGGGTGATCCTTAGGGTTACGTATTTATATGTCCAGTATGACATACCCCAAAACCCTATTCTAATCATTAAGGCCCCTTGAGTGGGGGTTCTGGATTCCTTTCCCATTGGGCGACTAACCCCTAAAACCTAGACCCTAAACCCTAAACAACCCCTAAAGTCCTAAACCCTGGTCCTAAATCACTAAGCCCCTAAATCAAGCCCTAAACCCTAAACCCCTAAGCCCCGAAGACTCTTTGCCAAAGGGTGGCTAACCCCTAAACCCCTAACCCCTACACCCTAAACCCCTCTTAGACCCTTTTTGGGTATACTGGAGCCCTATACTACTGAGGGTACTTTAGGGGAACCCCCATGAAGGGATCTACTTTTTGGATCCTCCCGGGGCCTATGACTAACCCCGCCTAGGTCATCACGGCTTGCGAGAAGGGTCGCAGCTGGCAGATGGCGAGCCTTCTTTTCCAGGTCGGTACTAGGGGTCTTTAGGGGGATCTATAGGGGCTCCTTTATAGGGATCTCTAGGGGTTCCTTTAAAGGCATCTTTAGGGGTCCCTTTAAAGGAATTCATAGGGTATTACAGAGTTTACGGCTTGCAGGGTTTATAGGGCTTATGGGGTTTAGGCGTTAGGGGTTTTATTTGGGACTTCGGGTTTAGCTTTTCGGCTTGTAGGGTTTATAGGGGTTTATAGGGTTTAGTGGTTTAGGGGGTTTATAGGGTTTAGGGGTTTGGGGTCTACCTGTATCCGAAAAGACCTACCGTTTAGGGTTCCATATAATGGCTTCCATACATATTTCCTCAAAAAGTTAAAGAACAGGTAGGTCTTGGGGGCCACAGGTGGGATTTAAGTTAAACTACCAAGGCAGAGTTGTTTGTGTTGCTTTTCATGTTAGGACGCTTTGGGATTCAGGGTTTGGGTTTATAGGGGTTTAGAGTTTATGGACTTGCTCTGGGTTTCGCAATGGAGTTTGCCCTCGAGCGTTTAGTAGTTTCAGCTTCGAGTGATTCTATACTGTGGGGTTTGGGGGGCTTGTTCAAAAATCTCACCCCTATCCTTAAACTCTAAACCTCCGGGGTTTGCGCAGAAAATGACAACGTTCGCGGAATCTCGTCTCCGCAATGTGGTTCTTTCAAAGCTTTCGTGCGCATTGATGGTGGCACCCGCATGCTTGCAGTTTGAGCCAGCCAGTCAGTTTCACACCTTCCGCATCTCACAGAAGGAGGGCTTGGTGTGTATTACACTTGCACGTGGTTGAGCCGAATTTCGTGCACAATGGTGCACATTTCCCAATTCGGTATGCGGCAAGTTCAAAATGTTCAAATTCGTGCGGCGAGAACGTGGACCGCGCTTCCTGGGGCATCGGAGCCGGCGGCGTCGGCCAGAGCCTCCAGACGGCCCATTTTGAGGCCGTCTTAGGACCGTTCCACAACTGCCTCGACATGAACATCTAGTACAATGATGACGAAATGAGGAAGCAAGCCGCCATGGTAGGCAAGCTTGTGGTGATGGGGCAGGAAGCCGTCCAGAACGCCAAACAGGGCATGCGGGAAGACATCTACAAGAAACACATCTCCGCAGACAAAGTTCCAGAACGGCTTCCGTATGCCATCCAAACGACCTTCGTTGAGCTTCGCAGCCTGAAGCGCTTCGAGCGCAACAGCCTGCCACGGCTTCGTGTCGATATGCACATAAGCACATGTTCCCGAAATTCCAAAAAAATCCGAAGTTGGGTGCAGCACCCCAGCACTGCAGGAGTACTGCAAGCATTGTTGCTGCGTCATGTTATTATTCCCTCAGTGTTCAGTATATTAACTAGTTACATGCGGTCATGTGGACTGCCTGAATCGTGAATTTGTGCACATTCGGCTTTCCGGGGTCACGTCAGAAAACCCGAACTCCATCATCTGCAACGTTTGTGCAAAAACACAATTTCAGGTTGAGTAGCTGGATCTGCGCTGACAGTATCAAACGTTGACACGACTTCGGCTGCAAAGCCGTAGCTTCAAAGTTGATTAACAGTTTGATCGCAGCGTGGCTGCTGTTCATGACTTCTGCCCTACAATTTGCCCTTGCCCGCATCAAAGATGTCCAGGCAGGGGAGATTTTGAGACATTCTCTGTGACATGTGATCTGGGAGGACCGGGAAGACCTTGCAAGGCTTCCGAGAGTTTTCGCCCTAGTATCAGTGAAGCAGTCGGCCCTCGAACTCCGCGCAGAGGCCGCTGTTCCCAAGATGGTTAGTGTTCTCGACGCGATTTTTTGGGAGGGTTGCGTGTGCAGTTGGGCAAGGTGCGGTTGTTGCACCAGTTCATCACGGAGACACACCAGAGTGTGGGATGCTTACTGAGCAAATGATTACCGCAGGAGCACTACGACGATAAAGGCACAACAGTTGCGAGGGCTCGGGCAGCCTGCTCCTGCTTGCGAAAGGGTTCCAATGCACGTGGACCTTTCACAGTCGTGTAAGATTCCTTGCGAGTTTACTTTTCAGGGTTTATTATCAGGGTTTCTAGGCGTAGGGCTTCCGGTTACGGTTGTATGGTGCTTCGTTTTCAGGAATTGCATGGCACGTATCTCTAACAACCTTGTAAAGCAAGCTCGACACTTAGCTCCGTAAGGTGGCCCGTTTCATTTTTTGGGGGGTCGGACTATCGGTATCAAGGTTCAGTGCTTCAGTTGCCGTTGTCTCAAACTTAACCGTGAACATATCACGGCTCAGTGCTTCAATTGCTGGTTTTCAAGCTTAGCCGTGCTCCCTAAAACCGTCAACCCGATGTCCAACCAACCCTCAACCTTTGCTCCAGTTAAATGGGGCGGCATTATAGGATTATAAACTCCAGGCTGTGAGGGTGTTTGGCTCCAAGGCTTACGTATAAATGCAGAGCGTGTCCTAAGAGCTTAAAGCAAAGGATGTCCAAGTAATGTAGTAGCTTGAATCATTACCAATGTTGTTGCTCAGGGCTCCTTGTGATTGATCTCATACAACTTCTAAGGCCGTTATTCTTTTATATAATCATGATTATATATCCGCCAAATCATTCACTTGCAAAAATATTGCAAAATTTCAATCATCCCAAACCCAAGTCCATCATTATTGGGCATCATTGTGTAACTCACCCCGATGCAAGCCCTCACATAAACCCGACGCCCCAACGAAGTAACAATTTGCAAAACCGACAACGAAGGCCAAGCCTTGCAAACGAAAGTCCCAAATCCGGAAAAACCCGAAACCCTGAACTGTAGACCGTCAGAGGTTATATACCCCACAAACAACACAACCTCACCTGGTGACTTGGAAGGCACCCTACATACCCCCAAATCCCCATAAATCCCAAACCTCGAAATCCTACCTTCCTAATTCGTGAAATTTGCACCCCAAACCTCAAATGCACGCTTGGAGGAACCCTCCCCTGTAGCAATTTGAAAACACCGGAACTTTTAAAATGTAGCCCTCGGAACTTGTGGAGGAAGCCTTAAACGTCATTTTGAAGGAAGCCTTGAAGGCACCTTAACCCGGACTCGGAAGGCATCTATGTCCTTCGATGTAATCGCATACAGCGCAGTCATCTCAGCCGGCTCGCATCTCGCCAGCGGTCTTGGGTTTAGGGCTTGTAGGATTTACATAGGATTTAGGGCTGAGGGTGGAGGGGTGTAGGGTGTAGGTTTCAGGGTTTATAGGCCTCACGTACAGCTAAATTTGCTGGAACACCGCTAAACAACAAAGGAAAGGAGATCGCTGGGAGCTGGTGTTGCGCTTGCTGGGAGGAATGCTGTGGGCCGCTGTGATGCCGACGCGAGCCAGCACAAGTATGTGTTGATGGTTGTTGTTTTCGCGCTTTCAATTTGTTAATAGGTGTTTGAGTGTAAGAGCCTAAACCTGGATTTGAATCCCTTCAAGGGTTGCCGGGGTTGGGCGCGGCTTTCACTTTGGCTTGCGGGGTTTGCATGGTCGCTGGTTTTCATCATTACATACACGCTTGACAGGGGTTAAGCCTGTTGAGGTCGTGGGGTCCGTGGTTTAGTTTCTACGGTACCTGTCCTTGGAACGTATTTAGCTTGCTTCATTATCAAGACTCCAGACCGCATATACTTGGAGTAAGGCCATCACCACGGGCTAGCTTTGACACGCCTTTTGTAGGGCTAGGTTGTTTCTTTGCTTGGGGCTTTAGGCAACCCCAAACCTCAAATCTTCAACCCCCAAGCTTACAGATCCCAAACTGCAATTCCGCCTTCAACCGCCTGGCCAAGGAACGAATTCAGTTTGAATGCCGCGGTCAGCAGCTGTGCCAAAGGCACCGATATAGAATCAACTAAAGAGTGTTTTCTTTGTTCAAGTTTGATGCTATTTTGGTGTCCCTAAAGATTTAAATCGGGTTTTCATGATTGAATCTCCGGTAACCCTCTAAAGCCATATACAACCGAAAAGCGCTGGCAGAAACTGTTAAGGGAACCTTTGAAGCGAAGACCCAGGCCGCTGGCAGCGGGCTTTGGCGCTGCCCAAGTGGCTGCCAGAGCTTCCAGTGGCTCGGTTCTTCAGTAGTTTTAGGGCATTGAGGATTGAGGGTATTCGGGTTTCAGGTTGAGGGGCTAGGGCTTGTTCCGATTATGCCAGAGTATAGTATAGCATATTGTGCTACAGAGTGGTCAGTGTGGTATAATAGTATTATGCATAATACTTTGCCCAGAGAAGCTACTGAGCAACCCAGGTAGACCGGGTGGGCTACAACGCCCAGATCCGAATCTGCGAGGAGGTGCTGCAGGGTTGTTTTTCAAAGGTTATTTTCTGGATGCCTTCAAGGTTTCGATACGGGTTAAGCGTGTTTGCGTTTGAGAGTTTAGGGGTTTTAGGCGTCGGGGCTTGGGGGGAAGAGATGGAAAGTCTTTATGGGTCAGGAATTTAGGGCTTGTATGCTTGCGTAGCGTGCAGCCTTGCGCCCACGAGGGACAATCATTGGTATGCCAAGGCCCCCCAATTCAAGTCCCTTCCGGCTCCTCCGTACAGACTTGCGCTTGTGAACACATTCGTGTGATTGTTCATGCAAGCGTTCGAACCCGTAGATTGGTAGATCTTGTTTTGAACTACCAGCCGCGAGATGGGTAATTTCCAAGATCATTTGCTACCTGGCCCAATACTGAAGCCTTTTCAAAGAAACGAGTGTTCTGACGTTTTGAACCCCTCCCCCCCTGGTTGGCAGGTGCAGCGATGGAAGTTGAGCTTTTCCTTGTTGGGAAAGATGAGGCGCTGAGCTCTATCTGTGCTTGAGGGGGTTCGGGATCCACGTAACCCTACCCTGGGCCCTCAACCTCTCAACACCCAATAGACCCCCTATAAAACATTATAGACTCTTCTCAAACCCACTGACCAAACCCCACATAGACCCCAGACAGCTACCGTAAAATCATCATGTAACTAGATTGTTTGGGTAGTAAATCCCAACCCTGACCCCCAAACCATCCTAGACCCTAAACTGGGTAGGGCTTTGGGACATTTTATATTTTCCCTTATTGGGCTTAAGAGGATCTTACTTACTAATATTTTTCAAAGGCTTTAAAGCACCACCTAGTAAACATCCCACGCCCTAAGCCCCATCATCCCCAGCCTTGAACCCCAAGCCAGAAACCCTATAATTAACATTTTCTAGTACCCTAAACATCCCTTGAAAGGAATCCCGTGTAAACCCTAAACCACAACCCCAGAATACCCTATAGATCCCTTTAGATGCCCTATAGGTACCCTAAAGATCCCTTTGAAAGGAGTCCCGTGTAAACCCTAAACCACAACCCCAGAATACCCTATAGATCCCTTTAGATGCCCTATAGGTACCCTAAAGATCTCTTTGAAAGGAATCTCGTGTAAACCCTGAACCACAACCCCAGAATACCCTATAGATCCCTTTAGATGCCCTATAGGTACCCTAAAGATCCCTTTGAAAGGAATCCCGTGTAAACCCTAAACCACAACCCCAGAATACCCTATAGATCCCTTTAGATGCCCTATAGGTACCCTAAAGATCCCTTTGAAAGGAATCCCGTGTAAACCCTAAACCACAACCCCAGAATACCCTATAGATCCCTTTAGATGCCCTATAGGTACCCTAAAGATCCCTTTGAAAGGAATCCCGTGTAAACCCTAAACCACAACCCCAGAATACCCTATAGATCCCTTTAGATGCCCTATAGGTACCCTAAAGATCCCTTTGAAAGGAATCCCGTGTAAACCCTAAACCACAACCACAGAATAATAGATGCCCTCTAGTACCCTAAAGATCCCTTTGAAAGGAATCCCGTGTAAGCCCTAAACCACAACCCCAGAATACCCTATAGATCCCTTTAGATGCCCTATAGGTACCCTAAAGATCCCTTTGAAAGGAATCCCGTGTAAACCCTAAACCACAACCACAGAATACCCTATAGATCCCTTTAGATGCCCTATAGGTACCCTAAAGATCTCTTTGAAAGGACCCTATAGATCCCTTTAGATGCCCTATAGGTACCCTAAAGATCCCTTTGAAAGGAATCCCGTGTAAACCCTAAACCACAATCCCAGAATACCCTATAGAGCCCTTTAGATGCCCTATAGGTACCCTAAAGATCCCTTTGAAAGGAATCCCGTGTAAACCCTAAACCACAACCCCAGAATACCCTATAGATCCCTTTAGATGCCCTATAGGTACCCTAAAGATCCCTTTGAAAGGAATCCCGTGTAAACCCTAAACCACAACCCCAGAATACCCTATAGATCCCTTTAGATGCCCTATAGGTACCCTAAAGATCTCTTTGAAAGGAATCTCGTGTAAACCCTGAACCACAACCCCAGAATACCCTATAGATCCCTTTAGATGCCCTATAGGTACCCTAAAGATCCCTTTGAAAGGAATCCCGTGTAAACCCTAAACCACAACCACAGAATACCCTATAGATCCCTTTAGATGCCCTCTAGTACCCTAAAGATCCCTTTGAAAGGAATCCCGTGTAAGCCCTAAACCACAACCCCAGAATACCCTATAGAATGCCCTAGGTACCCCCTTTGAAAGGAAGTAAATCCACAGAATACCCTATAGATCCCGCCCTCTAGTAAAGATCCCTTTGAAAGGAATCCCGTGTAAGCCCTAAACCACAACCCCAGAATACCCTATAGATCCCTTTAGATGCCCTATAGGTACCCTAAAGATCCCTTTGAAAGGAATCCCGTGTAAACCCTAAACCACAACCACAGAATACCCTATAGATCCCTTTAGATGCCCTATAGGTACCCTAAAGATCCCTTTGAAAGGAATCCCGTGTAAACCCTAAACCACAACCCCAGAATACCCTATAGATCCCTTTAGATGCCCTATAGGTACCCTAAAGATCCCTTTGAAAGGAATCCCGTGTAAACCCTAAACCACAACCCCAGAATACCCTATAGATCCCTTTAGATGCCCTATAGGTACCCTAAAGATCCCTTTGAAAGGAATCCGTGTAAACCCTAAACCACAACCCCAGAATACCCTAGAGTACCCTAAAGATCCCTTTGAAAGGAATCCCGTGTAAGCCCTAAACCACAACCCCAGAATACCCTATAGATCCCTTTAGATGTCCTATAGGTACCCTAAAGATCCCTTTGAAAGGAATCTCGTGTAAACCCTAAACCACCACCCCAGAATACCCTACAGATCCCTTTAGATGCCCTATAGGTACCCTAAAGATCCCTTTGAGAGGAATCTCGTGCAAACCCTAAACCACAACCCCAGAATACCCTATAGATCCCTTTAGATGCCCTATAGGTACCCTAAAGATCTCTTTGAAAGGAATCTCGTGTAAACCCTGAACCACAACCCCAGAATACCCTATAGATCCCTTTAGATGCCCTATAGGTACCCTAAAGATCCCTTTGAAAGGAATCCCGTGTAAACCCTAAACCACAACCCCAGAATACCCTATAGATCCCTTTAGATGCCCTATAGGTACCCTAAAGATCCCTTTGAAAGGAATCCCGTGTAAACCCTAAACCACAACCCCAGAATACCCAAAAGATCCCTTTAGATGCCCTCTAGTACCCTATAGATCCCCTTGAAAGGAACCGCTAAACCCTAAACCACAACCCCATAATGCCCTATAGATCCCTTTAGATGCCCTCTAGAACCCTATAGATGCCCTTGAAAGGAACTGCTAAACCCTAAACCACAACCCCATAATGCCCTGTAGATCCCTGTAGATGCCCCCTAGTACCCTATAGATCCCTTGAAAGGAACCGCTAACCCCTAAACCACAACCCCATAATGCCCTATAGATCCCTGTAGATGCCCTATAGTACCCTATGGATCCTCTTGACAGGAACCCCTAAACCCTAAACCACAACCCCAGAATACCCTATAGATCCCTTTAGATGCCCTCTAGTACCATAAAGATCCCTTGAAAGGAACCCCTAAACCCTAAAACCATGATGCCCTATAGATCCCTTTAGATGCCCTATAGTACCCTAAAGATCACTTGAGAGCAACCCCTTTCAACCCTGGTTCTAAACCCTGAACCCGGCTTTAGCCGCTGAGATGCAGGGCCAACGGCCTGGTGCCGGATCTCATTGGCTTCAGTGCGGCCATGGCGGCTTGCGAGAGGACCCGGCAGCGGTTAAAGGCCTTGTCAGGAGCTCGATAGGCGTTATATAGGGTACCATCGGGTATCATGGAGTTTTAGATTATATCATGTGTGGCTTTGTACAGTAGTAGAGGATTTGGTAGGGTTTGTTGGGATGTGACGATCAGCAGACCGTTTCTGGTGTGCTCAGGCACCGATGAGTCTACTAACCCTGTTGTGCACTTTTACCCTTTGCATTTTTGGGGACTGTTCACTAAACCTGAGAGGTGGCACCCTCTTTTTTCAAGGTCGTACTCGGAAGCCTAGAACTAAACCCTTTATGGCTTTGGCAGCCGAAAACCCCGGCATTGATCGCGCTCTACGGCGTAGGTGGATCTCCTTTGTTCCGGAACCCGGCCGTAGCCTTATCATCCCATTCCCTTATCCTGGAACTTACCCCTGGCACTTAAGTCTCTTTAATAAATTTGATATTCTCAAGCCCTGTCACTTAAGTCTCTTTAGATTTGATATTCTAAAGCCTGTCCCCAGTCCCAGCACTCCTAGCCTGGCCTGATCCAGGTCCGGCCCTCAAGCCCTAGAACCTTGATCCCCCGAGCCCTACCCCAGCGACCTGAACCTTAGACGCATATGGGAGTTTCCGAAAATTAGGGGTACCTTATTTGGGGCGTCCTTATAGTAAGGATCCTACTATTTAGGGTACTGTATTGGGTCCCTTACCCCCGTATGACCCTCAATGCGGCTGGAGCTACTTGTACAGCTAGGCCCTTGTCCCCTTAACCCTAAGCTCTAAACTAAACCCTACTGGGAGGGTCGGGGGACTTAGTAAGTAGGTAGTAAGTAGACTTATAAGACCCTAAAGTGGACCCTAATTGAGGTTAGGGTACTTAGAAGTCCCCAAAATAACTACTTACAAAGTCCCCCGACCCTCCAAGTAAACACTAACGCCCCAAACCGCCTCTAAACCCTAAACCCCAAACCCCTAAACCCCTAAACCCCTAACCCCTAAACCCTAAACCCAAAAGCCCTAAACCGCCCCAAACCGCCTCTGCAGGACAGGGAAGTGGGAGCTAGGGATCCAAAGCCTCGCCTCCATGTCTCTGGGATCTTCTTCAGTCAATTTCTGAGCAGTGTTTGAAAGAGTGAGGGTTGAGGTATTGGGAGGATGTAAGGTACCTACTAGGCTCTACTATAGTGTGTGGCTTCATATATATATATATATGTATATATATAAATTATATATCCCGATTAATTAGGCAACTCATATTACGTCAGTTCCTGAACTGGAACCCAGGCATGCACTGCGGATGCAAGTCGACGAGCTCTGCTGGAGAGAGGGGTTTAGGGTTTAGGACCTTCGGCCAACGGAGAGTTTAGGGTTTAGGGCTTAGGGTTGTATAAGTGTCAGAAATCCTCCAACCCTAAGCCGTAAACCCTTGCAAGGGGTTGCCGAGAGATTACTAGCTCGTGGGATGTGGGATGATGTAGGGCCTTGAAAGGTTGCGGTGTTTCTGGGTTTAGGATTGGTGTCTCATAGTAAGAGGCAGTGTTGGGACAGAGACGGTATGGAGCGTCCGGTGTTTCTCTTGTTGTCCACGTTTTGTGACTGGCGATTGAGCTCACAAATAAGAGCAGTAACAGCAGGCCTTGGCTGGTGTGTGCCCGCGACTATCACAGGTCACCGTACGCCGTGGTATGCAAGATTACAGGATGGGTCTCTTTGATTATTTACCGAAGCAAGGGCTTGATTCTGCAGAACAGGCTCTTGTGGTCTACTATACCCACATACAAGAACCCCAAGGCGTGTTGCAACTATTGATGTCTAAGACATCGACCCGAACCGGCTTGTTGAACTAGCTGCAAAATTGTCCTGCCCCCGGGTATACCGTCCTGAGCAGCTTACTATCGTAATTATCTGCATCACGAATCATGGCTTGACATTGTCGTGATACCTTCTAGCATTGGCGTATCTGCGGTTACTGTTGTTGATATTTCAGAACAATCTCCTTATAGATCGTCATCCTGAACCCTAAATCTCGGGGCCTTAAACCCTAAAGTCTAAGCCCATGCCCTACGATTCAGCCTTTTATTAAACAAACAAACCCTAGCGTCATTGCTCTTGTGGGAGTCCGAAACGGGCACCTGCGACTTGTGGAGGAGTTGTGCGATGAGCGCCTGCGACAGCTCTGGGCACTGGTGCCCTGGTTTACCGGGTAGTTCCATGAAGTAGGGGGCCCCTTCTTAGATTCCCAAAGTCGTACGGCAGCCTCTTAAAAAAGGCCCGAAAAGGGACCCTAATTTAGAGAACAGCTCTACTGATCTCCTTGCCGACTCGGACACTATTCTTACATCAAGCAAAGGGCTAGAGTTCTACACAGGTCTTATGTCACCTTTCCTCGTCCTTAGCCAAGAAACCAAGCCTTCGAACGCCTAACCCCCAAACCTACAGTGTACACCAGAAAGTGGAAACACGGATTTGGGTTATTGGCGCTGGGACTTCCTGTACTGCACCGTAAGGAAATATGGATACGATATCTACAGCTTTCTGGCTTCCACCTTAAACTATCCGAAACTGCCTAAACTCGTTGATTCCACACCCTAAACCCGAAACTAGGACCTGGAGTAGGCCCTTATTCCCTTTTTTGAGGGTTCGGGTTCCCTTGTAAGCCCCTTTAAACCAAAAAGGGCACCCTTTTTATTCCTAGGATACTCTTGGGTCTAGGAAACCCTGCAAGAATCTCCAAACCCTACACCCCCAAGCCTTAGGCTCCATTGTCGACGGCCCAGGGACGAGGAGTTTAGGTTTTAGGGATTAGGGTTTAGGGTTTAGGGTTTAGGGTTTAGGGATTAGGGTTTAGGGATTAGGGTTTAGGGTTTAGGGATTAGGGTTTAGGGACAGTAGCCCTAAAGGTCCAAGTGCCCAAATAGTAGGGTTCCAGGGTTTGAAACCCATTCAGAGTATGGGTTTTGGGCCCTGAAACCCTAGTAGTTGGGTACTTGGACCATTTGGGTAAGCTAAGGCAGGTAAAGGTAAAGGTAAGGTTTAATGAGGCTTGAATGGCCTGATCCGTTCAGGGTTTAGGGTGCAGGCCAAAGGCTTTCAACTCAAAAGAATCGCAGCCGAACCTTGAGTCTCTGATATACACAGAGGCCTAGACAAGAGGTAGTATTTTATTCCGAGGTTCAGGGTTTAGGGATGTTTAGGGTCTAGGTCTAGGGTTCAGGATTGGGTGTTGAGGATTTCAGGATTTAGGGTTGAAGGTTCAGGATGTAGAATTTCGGATCTGGCGTTCAGAGTTGAAGTGCTTACGGTTTAGTGCCCCTACCGGCCTTGCTCCACACAAGCATGTCCCCTGTATTTGTTGTCTCTCAGGCAAGCTGTCTTGGCCTTGATGGCGGAAGCTCGAAAGAAACGATGCCTGGGTGACGCGAGGCTGAAATAAATCAGATTTCTACTTTGTAGGAATCGGAGCTTCTCCTTGCTTTCAATGCTTTCTGACATTCTGTCTGTCGATATGTACCAGTACCTACTAAACATGCAGCACTTGTGCCGCTGGGCCAAAGGGGTCGGTTTCGTTTACCGACGCTGGCTCTGCTTCTGGTTATTTGTTCGCCTGATGTAGACCTACGATTGATGATATCAATCCTCAATGACCCACAATAGGGAATATACCATAATTCCCATAGATTAGGCTCATTATATAAGGTAATGCAGGATTTAGATCATCAACAGTATTGATTATGAAACCCAGACCATAAGCTCGCCTTAAGCCCAATAAGTCCTAAAGAGTTATAGGGCTGGGAGGTACTGTGTTTAAGCTGAAGTTTAGAGTCAGGGCTTTAGCTCTTACAGGGTTTACGTAAAGTTTAGGGTTTATAGGGTTGAGGGTTTGTGGAGACTTTGCGGAACCTATTCGTCTGCCTTTCGGGCTTCAGTTTGCGCTTTGCGCATCTCAGGATGCCGTCGCCTATGGCATTGCCATCCGCGCCTGCTGTACGGGTTTGCTATGGCAGCAGGCACTCCTTGATGACCTATAAAGCCCAAACCCTAGTTTGGGTTTAGGGTTCGGCATGCGGGCGGCTTGCGGTGCAGCCTTGAAGTCACACTGACAACACCCACAAGTCCAAAATGTTAATCTCATACCCTTGAATACAGCGCAAGCTGCGAACCTTATACACTAAGCCTTCAAACCCTAAACTGCCCTAAACTTACAACACCAACCTAACAAGCTGACCCCACTCTAAGCCCGCACTGCATACATACGTACAGACAGGCAGGCATCCATCCATACATACATGTGTACTATAAACTTATATGTGTGCTATATATGTATATCCATAGTTATAGAGAGAGTTTTGGGACGACTATTCATAGGAATAGGTCGACTTACAATGGCGTAAACGGCCCTAAGCAATAAGCCCAAACCCTGGACTTGAGGTTTAGGTGTTAGGGGCGTGGCATTTCAATCCCTTCAGATCTGGACTAGAAATTTCGCATAGGAGTCCTGCTAATCGAGGGAAGGTTTTGGGTTGCAGGGTCTTCTTTGGGGGATAACTACGGTTGATGGTGTGGGAACTATGGTGTATTCCTTGTCATGGGCAATGCAGGATTTACATCATCAACCGTAGGACAAAGTTCCAACCCTAAACCCTAAACCACCCTAAACCCTAAACCCTAAACCACCCTAAACCCTAAACCCTAAACCACCCTAAACCCTAAACCCTAAACCCTACATTCCGGAGGTCCACGGCATTGAACTTCCGAGTCCCACACACAGACCGTGAACCCGAAGGGTCCATGTGCCCAAATAGTACCCTTGGCCCCAAAGTACCCATATAGGGACTACCTTAAGGCCCATGTATATCTACTATTTGAGCACATGGACCCTCAGGGAAAGAGTCAGCTCCTGATTGTGAGAGCTTTTGGAAGTGAAGCGCTGCTCTGCGAAGCCGCCTCTGCAAGGCCCACACTAAACAAGTTAATTGGGATCCCGTACATATAATGTAGGGGCCTTACTAATTAGAATGAGGTTGTGGGGGTATTGCAACTATCGTGCAGAATATCCCCAAAGCCGCATTCTAATTTTTGAGACCCCTACATCAACCACCCATAAAGCCCTTATACGAGTCGTAAAGACTGTGTTTCTGCAGCAACTCCGGCCTCCCAGGTCCGGAGCCCGGAATTAACGTCACGAATTCAAGCCGAACCCCTGCAACAAAACGGCCACCAGCCACCAACCCTAAAACTTAAACTTCTGCCTTACATAGCATGGCTTTACATGTCGGGCCTCTTTAAGATTCAAGTCCGACGGTCAAATATGGCGGCTTTTGTTGAGAACCAAGCTATATAATTGTAAGCAGAACTAAACCCTGCTGAAACTGGGCTTGCAGTGGTATACAAAGCACCAAACCATCTACGCGCGCACAAACGCAGGCGCTCAACATGCTGTGCTTTGCAGATGTGGATCTCACTGGGGACATGAGCCTCAGGCCAAAAGGTTCTTGAAAGGGTAGTCAAGTTGTGGCTGCTGTACCAGTTAATACTACTCTACTCTAGACTATACCATGCTATGCTACTCTACACTGCATTGTTGTTATCGCAAGGGTGGTCCAGAAAACGTTTGCTCCTTACAGCTACAGCCCCCGAAACACGGCCACGTCCCTGCTCGTATACGCCGCTAGATAGTACCCTTTGGCAATACTTACAGTTATGTTCAACCATGCGAAGCCCAAACACAGCTACATAGTCGTCGGCTAGTAGACGTGCATGAGCAAACCGCCACCCCTTACAAAGCATTATAAGCATTATAACTGGGAGCCGAATATTATCGTCGAGAGATCTGCATTCTTGGATTGGAGTTGTGATGTGTCGGGAGCCCCACTGACGCGACCGAAGGGCAGTAACCGTCAGTTCTTGTCGTCAGTACCTTAGCATCCACGGATGTTTGTCCCAGACCTAGATAACTCCCTCAAACCCTGTGCCCTAAAAGCCCTGCCTAGATCCTAATTAGGCCCTATAGACCCTCAAACCGAATTCATAAACACCCTTACATTTGCCGATAAACCCCAAACCGTCAACGCAAGGATTTGTTGCGGTGCGGCAGCCACTGCCTGTTTCGATGCCCTCGTCCTGGGGAGGCCGATGGCGTGAAGTCGATACTGCGGTTTAGAGCTTAGGGTCGGGTCCCAGAGACTCCAATACCCCTTAATTAGGGAATATTCCTTAAATCATATTAGTGATCCTACTATAATTTAAGGTCTATTCCTTAATTAAGGGATATTGGAGTCTCTGGGGTTTTCGGTGCAGGAAGTCGGTCTACTTCAGATGCCTCTTACGGCCTTGAGTCTTCTAAAGCATCTTACTGGGTCGCGTCTGGATTGTCCAAGGATTTTTGTGGTCTTAGAGCTTTGCGGTTATCCCAGATTTTCCTATAATACCCAAATTTCTACACATGTGCAAGTGTGTCTGTGGGCATGCCGAGCTCTGAGATGTCACTGCCTGATTGTCTGGGCGTGAGGACGTACTTGAGCAGCTAAGCCGTAGCACATTAAAAGAACTTGTCCCTTACCGTGTTGGTCTGATGTACTGTTGGCTAGAAGTTAGGCTTCTTCCTCGGGCACTTGAAATGAATAAGAAATCCTACGGTCCTACAGTTTCCATCGTCATCTGTAAAGCCTAGTTGAGAAATTTCGGCTTGAGGAGGGTTCACATCTCGAAGCGGGTACTGCTGCTAGCGCCAGGGTATTGGACTAGCTTTCTGGATTTCGGCTTGTTCTAGAGCTGTCAGGCTATATATAAATCGGAAGGACCACAGTAAACCCTAAACCCTAAACCCTAATGATCTCTTCGAAGCTTAAACCCTACCCTAAACTTCTGAGCCCCCAGACCCCTAAACTCTCAACCCTATACAACCTTCTAGATTCTAGATCCCTTTAAAGGAAACCCATCAATTTACCATAGTATACCATAATATACTCATCCCTTTAAAGGACACCCACAGCCCTAAGCCCAGGTCGTTGGAGCTGATGGAGTCCATGCATGCGCAAAGCCGAAGTCTTTGCAAAGCTGGGGAGGATGCCAAGATGAAGCAGCCGGCAAAAAGGACCAGATCCGATGTTTATCAGTTTAGCATTCAAAACGGGAGCAGATCGGAGAACCTTCGAGTATTTAGGGCTTAGGGTTGAGGGCACTTGTGAGCTCGGGTTATTTCGGGTTGAGGGTTCAGGGTCCTGGGCTAAGGATTCAGGGTGTAGGGTTCAGCCGCTGCATGCCACTGCCAAGAGCCCAAGGTGTCCTGTTCAATAGCGCCCTCAAGTTCCTTCCTTGCACCTTAAACCCTATGATACAATATATACTACAACAGCTTCTTTAAAGGAAGCTGTAAAGGAAACCCTAACGCGCAAGACCCAAGACCAAAGCCCTCGAATGCAGCTGAGGTGTCAAGTCGCAAGCCGCACTCCGCGAGCGCGATGCCGAGATGCAGAGGCTGGGGTTTACTTAGTAGCTGAGTGGATACACTTTACACTTTTGGGGATGATATGACCCACTATGAAACGAAAAGTGTACACTTTTGGGGGCTTATGAACTCAGCAACTTAGTTTGGGGTTTAGGGTTTTGCGGGTTGATGGGGGGAGGTTCAGGGTTTAGGGTTCACCAAGGGGGTGTTGGGACATTTATCGGGCCATCCCAGCTTTGGAGCTGTTAATGGTTTCGAGATTTCGACTCGAGTCGCATTCTGGCAGTATAGGGTTCAGGGTTCAGGGTTAATTAGTTAGGGGCTCAGGGTTTAGGGTTTAGTATTAAAGTTGTGGATCTAGGATTTTAGGACGCAGGGGGTCGTGAGATATTGCCTGGGGGCTTCATGGTTCAGGCTTCGAGCAAGTGTGTTCTTGTGAGTGGTCTTTGGTCGCGTCTCTGTATTTTGGCTGTTCAACGTAGGGGCTTTAATAATTAGGAGAGAGTTTTGGGGTATATTATATAGTAAGGAGCCCTCAAAACCGTGTTCTTTTCTGAAGGCCCCTACAGCAAGGTTTGCCCAACTGCATCTGAGCCGAGAGCAGAGTTGACCGGCTTAGTAGTGGGGGTTTCCGAAAATTAGGGTTACCTTCTTTTGGTGTCCTTATAATAAGGATCCTAGGCTGCTAAATTAGGTTCCCCTAATTTTCGGAAACTCCCATGTTGTCTTTGCAAATCCGTCAACATTTGGCATTGGAATCAGCCGCTGGCATAGTTCGACATCAAGTTCGGTCTTCAGTGCTACTATCACGTAGGCGAGCAGTGTGATGTAACTCTTTGTTGCCGCCAGAGCGAGCAAAAGCCTCACTCTAAACATGGAGCCGAAAGCCCAGCCCCAATTTCTAAGCCGTATCGTTTTGAAAGACTTCCAAAGACTGTTTGCAATCAACCAGCACGTTGGTATCGTTGCGCCTACGGCGCAAGGTTTATGATTTAGGGTTTCTTCGTTTTAATTTTGGGGGATAAGGGTGTGTGTCTTCGCCTGCTCTTTGAAAAACATCCGGTAACTCTTTCACCGACTGCTTTGCTACGCTGCGGGTTCCAGGATCCTCTAACAGTACATGCGGACACATCGCCTGTGCCCGAAGCTACAGTCTCCTTAGGAATTGATTTAACAATTTTTGTGCATATATAATAATAATAATGATAACAATAATAATAAGAAGAAGAATAATAATAAAACCCAAGAGAGTATTGAACATCTTATTTCCTAGTTTTAGTATGGTTCTAAGGAGGGGTATAGGAAGAAGGTGCGAGGCTCCTGCATCTTAAATTCCGAACCCCGAAATCTCTACAACTCCTGAGGCCCGAACCTAAACCCTAATGTGAACCCCAGAAAGTTGGAACATGGGTTTAGGAGGATTTGTGCTCGGATACCCTATACTTTACCTTAAAGGCATGAGGATATATATATATATATATATATATGTATATGTTCCAAGTTTCTGGCTTCTACTGTAAATCCAAGCTTCGCTCCTACTTCCGACCCGTGTGTAGGACACATTCTGGGTAGCTGACTCTGTTGGATGATGAAGCCTAGAAGTCGTACAGTTTTACAGTAAACCCCATAAAGTTGGAAACCGGATTAAGGCCAAATAGTGCTGGAATTCCCCATACATTGCTCTTAAGGATTGAGGCTATTGGGTTTCCAACTTTTTGGCTTCTACTGTAGTCCTTGCGGCCTGCTAGCTGGTGCTAAATCTCGGCAGACAGCATCCTCTTTGAATTTGTTGCTATGATGGATACTGTGCCCTTCTGCTCCCTGTTCTGTTATCCGACAATATACACCTTCACCCAAACCCCTCTATCCCACCCTTTGAAACCAAAAGCCTACAGACCAGGAATCTCCGTCCCAAAGACTCCAAGTAGCCCAAAATGTAGGTACGTAGTTCTGACAGACCCTAGATCTCTACAGTCTCTACATCGGAATGAAGGCTTTTGGTTCAGGGTCCTGATCTCTGCAGGCCCTGAGGTGCCCGTAGGTATCAGCCTCTAGTCTCTGTGGGTGTTTCAAGGCTCCTTCACCCGAAACGCCTAAGCCCCTTAACCCTAAACTTGCGCTAAACCTAAACTCTAAGCCCTAAGCAGGTAACCAGCTGGCCTATAGCCCCTAAACTCTAAGCCCTAAGCAGGTAACCAGCTCGCCCAAACGGGCTGTCGTTACGATCTACGCAGATCGAAAAGGAGAGCGCTTAAATCAACAAAAGCAACCCTAAACCCCTAAACCCTAAACTTGCCCTAAACCCTAAACTCTAAGCCCTAAGCCCTAAACTCTAAGCCCTAAGCCCCTAAACCCAAAGTTTCCTAGCCGCCTGCCCAGAGGCTGGAAGAAAAGCGACTCCAAGACGAAGAGCAGCCGGGAGCCCAAGAAAAGCCCACTGTTAAGGACATCTAAAGGGGAGTTTCCGAAAAGTAAGGGTACCTTCTATATATATATATATACACAAGTTATGAACAATGAAATCATAACAGGGAGCCTTGGAAGCTTTTTTTTGTTGGTGGTTCTTGTGGTGAATAAACGCAGGGCAGGCTCAGTCCCTCAAGGGAGCCCAAAAAGGAACCTCAAAACGAAGTCTGACAGGTACCCAAGTAAGCCCGATCCCTAAGCTGTTGTCGTATCCTCGAAGCAGGTGGAAGGCCCAGATCCTGAAGCTGCTTGGGGAGGTGAAAAAGGCCCGGAGCCTTTTTGGGCTCAGGGCGCTTGGGGGGTTTAGGGTTTCGGGTTGCCTGTAAAAGGATCTATAAGGCGTCTAGAGCCTATAGGGTTTAGTATAGGGTTTAGGGCTTTCGGGTTTAGGGGTTCCTTTCAAGGGATCCATAAGGGGTCAAGAGGGTTTAGGGTTTAGTGTTTCTGAAGTTCAGGATGTGGGGTTTAGGTTCAGAAGATGGGGTTTGTATTTGACCAGGTATTTTGTGCAACGGGTTGACTTATCGTGTTTGACACTTTGCAAGGGGCCCACTTATGGAGAACCACTTTTGGAGAAAGCAAGACAATATGGAAGCTTTTCGCCCGGTCCGAAGTATTACGGTCCCTGTATACCAGATCCCAAGCCTTGAAACCCGTATGGTAGAGCCCTAAAAAAGATTCCTTATTGAGGAGAACCATATTCTGAGTATGACGGGCCTTCATACCATGGATGCCTGAACGACTACGAATACCATACGGTCGTATACACCAAAACCCTGTGCATACTACTGAGGCTCAAAGACCCTTTATATAGTACAGTACCCTTATAGATCCCTTTTCAAGAACCCGTCTAAAGAAGCTCTATTCGTTCTCACTTGTACCCTTAAGTTCCCTGAGGTGGAGCAAGCTTCGGCCTCGTTGTCGCAGGAGATCGGACGCACGGCTTCTTTTGCGGCTTAGGCTTAGGAGTTCAGTGCTTCGAAGGTTTGGGTTTTTAGGGATCAGGGTTGATGTTGAGGCAAAGGATAGATTTTGTGAGGGGCGTTTGCGCCACTCCGGCTTTTTAATCGTTGCTATCTGACACCTTACTAAGTCCCATGCGGCCGCGACCTACGGTTTGAGACACATTGCGGGGCGAAGGCGGCCGCATTCTCGATCAAGTGCTCTGGCGCCCTCGTCCGCTCAAGCACGACGCAGAGGTGGCATGGTCGATTTAGGTGGACCAACCCACGACTCAACATCGCATACCATTGCAGGCATGCCAGACCTGGTACGAGCTGGCTGCTGTCTGAGCCAGAGCACTGAATGAAGGTCTTGGTTTCTACGCATTGCGGCTAGGATCGAAAGTGCTCTCGTCCGCGTGAGCCTAGCTTTCCTCCGCCAGGGTGGCATGACTGATGTTGGCATGTAGCTCATCGCATTCTGAGACCTGTCTTGAAGAGGACACCGAAGGTAGACTTTACTTAACCCCCTCCCCACGACAACACAACACCCGTAGCCTAACTTTACCTGCTCTGGGTTTAAAGTCCACAAAGCAATAACACCCTTTTGCGGCCTGCTGTATCAGCCCTTGCCCCTTTCACCCCCAAAATCCCACCAAAAATGTAAACCCCTGCATCCTAGCGAGGTCTCCCCGTAGGCCCTTATTCCCTTTTTCGTGCGGTCTTCGGTTCTTAAAAGAGCTACCCAATTCCAAAAAGGGAGCCCTTGTTTATTCCTTGGTTACGGGGGTTACGGGGATCCTAATCAGGATTTGTTCGGGGCTTATGGTGTGGAGTTACGGCTTTGGGTTTCGAGTTCACGGAAGCCGAGCCCGCTTGGGTTTCCATGTGAGTTTGAAACAGCGGCCTAAGTATTTACCAGTATTGGTTTGGTGGATCCTCACTACAACTGTGATGTGGTATATAGAATACACCAACACCCTACTCTGATCATTAAGGCCCTTAGTGTGTGCAGGCTTGCCTTTGAACCTTCTAAAGTGTTGACCTGTGGGAGGAGCTCGCAGCGTCAAAAGCTGAACTCGCGCGGATGAAGGCAGTGGGAAAGTTGATTGAACTCCATAGCTTTGGGCTTTGTGTTCGGTTTGTTGAGCTGATTCGCCCGTTCTGGAGCTTCCGCTGCACGGTTTTGAGACGGGCTCTTATGGCCAAGACAATGTGTCAAAGCTTGCTGTTGTAGCTTCCAGGGCTACGACCACAGCTGTTGCTGTCGCGACTAATATAGTAACCTAATGCAGGAATAGCAAATGGTCACCAGTGGTCCGATTACTGAATGTTGATAAAAGTCCTTTGTCGCTGTTGTTGAAAGTGATGTGCTGATGCTGAGATGTTGGCGCTGCGCTTATCCGCTTCAGAAACTCAGTGACGACCAATGTGGTTTGTGCAACATTGTTATCAGCATTGTTCAATCTATCTGGGAGGTATACTCAACGCTACCCTGACGGCTGTGGTTTGTGGTACCACCACAGTTGATCTCTGTTGCAACATGACATGATTCTGTAGGTACGTACGATCACTGTTAGTCTTGCTATTGTCTGTGTTATAGCATTCAATACTGCAAGCGTCAGCATGGATATGTCGAAGACGCTTCGCTTGTCTGGAGGGTCCATGCGCTCAAGTAGTATGCCAAGTCAAGCCGTACCTAGTAGAATTCCATTAGGGAGCAAAGCAATTACTTAAAAGCTGCCCCCACCCTGTAATAGTGGTATAATAGGAATATAGTAGGGGCCTAATATAATCCTTATAGTCACTATTACAGGGTGGGGCCAGCTTCTAAGCAATTACTATCAAAGTCTTCGCACCTCTTTGGTTAGCATAAACCCCCACCTCCGACACCCCCAAACTTGAGCCCGACAACGCGGAAAATCGAACGTCCTAAGCCACCGTAAGCCCTACAGGCCTCCGTGAAGAACTCCTAATGGCACTCTGAAGCGAGTCCGTAGGGGAACCGCTAAGCGGTGCCCTCAAGGTATCCTTAAAGCTACCTTGCAAGGTCCACTTAGACGAATCCTTAGAAGAACCCTGAAAAAGGTACACGTAAAAGAAACCCTGAGAGGACTCCTAGCGGAATCAGCACCAGGCCGGCGGCCAAGATGTCGTCCGCCGATACGAGGCGCGAGAACTGCAGCCTAACCTGGACCTCTGATTGATTCATCACTTGCTTTTGCTCAAGGCCCTCAACACGAGTGGTATACGGGCCTTTGTAATTGGAATAGGGTCTTGAGGGCCAATCATACCATGCTTATTCTAAGAAGGAACCCCAAAAATACTATAGCCAGTACGTAATGTAGTCCCCTGGTCAATACACCCACCTCGCTGACAAGCAAAAGAGGGGAGCTTCCTCTCCGAGGGATATCATGTAGCCCAGAGGGTCCAAGTACTTCCGTTTGTAGGACTTTAGGGCCTTCTGAGGTACCAACAACCATAAATGAGGACTACTGAGGTACCAACAACCATAAATGAGGACTACTTGGACCCTTAGGGTAGTTGAACAAGTTTTACGATGTGGGTGGTTGTCAAAATTATGGTTCCTTTCTTGGGTACCCCAAATGATAGGTGCCGTATTATAGTAGGGACCCAAAAGGGGACCATGATTTTGACAACCACCCAGCTACTTTCTGTTCTCAGCGCCTGCAAGAGCCTTTGGAACCAGTACGAAGAGAGAGGAAGCCGTAAAGCGCCTTTACTACTATTTGCTTAAGAACCCCCAAAAAATAAAAAATATGTTCCTTATGGGGGTAATATAGGGGTTATTATCTTTATTTTTTGGTGGTTTCTTAAGCAAATAGTAGTTTAGAGGAAACCACAAATCTTCCCTTCAAGGAAGCCTTACAGGAACCCGTAGAGGAAAACCCGAATAATACACGGAGACTCCAATATCCCTGAATTAAGGAATACACCCTAAATTACAGTAGGAGCCCTTCATGGGAACCCTTCCAGCAACCCCGTGTGGGATCCTTTGCGGCTTTTTCTCGTTACTTCCCGCAGGAGGAGAGCGGGCGTCGACTCGAGCTCGAAGAGCGCTGTCTGCAGCTCGAGGAGAAAGTGCTCCGGACCCCAAAAAATCACTGAGAGGACTTTAAGGGCTTTTCCCGCTTTTAAATTTTTGCAGAGTTTGAAGTTTCAGGGCTTTTCCAGTTTTTTTTTTTTAAGTTGATGCATTGTTTGAAGTTTGTTTAGGCGGGTTTTGAGTGGTGTTTCAGTGGTTTAGCATATCTAGAGAACAAGCACTTGTTTTAGGTGCTGCGCGTTGTAGAGGTTTGTCTAAGCGTCGCAAAGGGGTCCGTGTTGGGGTTCCTTTGGAGGTCACTGCAAGGGTTCTATGAGGATAGACGCCGCTTCGGGGTTCTAGGGCTTTTTCTGGGCCTGAGCAAAGAACCCTAAACCCCGAACACCTAAACCCCTAAACTCCTATAGTACACTTATAGATCCCTTTAAAGGAACCCTTATGTATAGATCCCTTCAAAGGAACCCTTACTTATAGATCCCAAACCCTGGAACCCTCAAACCCTAAAGTGAGAGTGTTCGGCTCTAAGGACTTTCGAAGTAGAATTAGGCGTGTCTTGGGAGCAAAGCAGGTGACCTGTAACTTGTTTTCCAGGGCAATATCGTATACCTCAGCCCGAAACCCAATCAGAAGGGTCGATCCCCTTGAAACCCGAGAAGAAGCTAGGATGCCCAGTAGTACCCTTATTCCCTTTTTGTAGTCCTAGGTTCCTTATAAAGTTACCCAATACCAAAAAGAGAGGCCTTTTGGTTACTGGGTATCCTAGAAAGCACTAAAACCCAAAACCAGGCCCCACAGTCGCTCTGAAACCCAATTCCTTGAAGATGGCTCCGAGTGCTCTTGAACCTGAAGGCCTCCTAAAACCTTAAAGCCGGAGACCCCCGAAACCTCTAAACCCACCAGGACCCCCCTTTAAGGCCCTTTCATGGAGCCCTAATGGCCCTTAATAGTAGGTATTGGGGTTTATTAGAGGGTAGTTGGGGGGTCTAGGCAACATCCCAAGCTTAAGCTTTAAGTTACGTAGCTCCGGATCTCATATTCTGAAGGGAGGCACCCATAAGGGAACCACCAAATCAACCCTTTGGAGAAAATCCGTAAGAGAACCCTGAAGCCCTTAAGCCCCGAACCCTAAAGGGAACCCTTAAGGGAGCCCTAAGCCCGTAAAGTTACTTAGACCCGTAAAGGAGCCCTTGAAATAACCCTTAAAGTACCCTAGACCCTTAACAGAGCCCTTGAAGTAACCCTTGAAGTACCCTAGACCCTGCAAGTGTTCTAGCCTTTAAATCCTAACCACCTAAACCCCTAAATCCTAACCCCAAAACCCCAGAACCCCTAAACCCCAGTTTTTACCCGAAGCAACTAACTCAACCCTAAATTGCTTAAATCCCTAAACTCCCCCAATATTACCCCGAAGCAACTAGCTTAACCCTAAATTGCCTAAACCCCTAAACTTCATTAAGGGAGACTACGGGCTGGGCAGGTGCGCGCCGGCAAGGAGAAGGGCCGCGATGCGGAGCTGCAGCAGAAGCTGAAGCAATGCCAGCAGGTTCGGTTCAGGGATTTAGGGCTTTAAGGTTTGGGGTTTAGGGGTTGGGGGGTTTAGGGTTTGGGGTTCCCCAAAGTTAAGGTTTGGAGTCAGGCGTGTTTAGGCCTATAGACTTTTTATTCCTTAGCATGAGCTAGTTCAATGCCAGCAGGTTCGGTTAGGGGGTTCTCAGCTAGCAGGAGCAAGAAGGGTTGTGGGTTAGAGGTGTGAAGGGCAATGCCAGCAGGTTTCCGCCCCAAAGGGGCAACTAGCATTTAAAAGTTCGGGTTTACTTAGGGGTACTTAGAGATAATTTTGAATTCTAGGTTATTAAAACCCCTAAGAAACAGCTAAAATTATAATTATGACTAGGGTTCTAAGTTCAGTATATAGTTTAGTGCCTAGGGTTTGCAAGGATCAGGTTTCTGCAGCGAAGTTAGGGTTTAGGGTTTGCGGTTAGGGATTTTAAACTGAAGCGGTGCCAGCAGGTTCCGCCCCAAGGAGATAGTTAGGATTTAGGGTTCAGACCCTAGGGCTTATAGGGTTTACGGTTTTGGGTCTTGGGTTTAATGTTGAGGGGTTTAGGGTTTTGGGTCCAGGGTTTAGGGGTTTAGGGTTTAGGGTTCCCGCCCCAAAGTTACGAATTTAGGGCTAGCGGTGCTTAGGATCCCTGGGTTCAGGATCTCGGGGTTAGATTCCTGTCAGAGTGTGGTACTTAGATGCCCTAGGACTTAGTAAGTAGGTTATAAGGAGAGTTATAAGTACCTTAGACGTAGCTACCCCCAATTATAACCCTCCTTGTAACCGACTTACTATGTTGCCCGGGCCTCCAAGTAGTTGGCAGTTAGAGTTCCAGGTTAGGGGTGTTGAGCAGTGCCAGCAGGTTCCGACCACAGGGATACTTAGGATGCCGGGTCTAGAGCTCAGGAGGGTTTAGGATCTATGTTTTCAGGTTTACTATAGGGCTAGTGAAACCTCTACATACTCCCGAAAAGTTAGCCATTGCAAGCCCTGTACTCACTTATTGGTTTTGCTTGGTGTAGGCTCATGCCATTGGTTATGACCCTGGTTTTATTGGGTGGAGGTTTTTTTTGGGGGGGGATCTTGGGGTTTGCAGGCCGGTAGTCGCGCCTTCGCAGACATCTCCGTACTTCACACTTTAGTAGACCCTTAGCTGAGGTTTTCCGGCAGGCATGCCGGCTTGCCACACCCCACATTCGAGTCGGCCCGACGTGAACCCATTGCCCATGGCTTGCAGTTGCGGGCTTCCTAAACCCTACACCCCTAAAGCCCTAAACCCTATAAACCTTAGTTAGAGTTTCTGGGGTTTGTGGGCAACCCAACTGCAGCTAAGAAAGCTCGCGAAGCGGAGTTCGCGAATAATGTTCTGACCCAGCAAATGTCAGAATACAAAGAGGAGAAGAAAGATCTTCAAGCTCGAAGATGTCTGCAGTGCCGGTCTTGCGAGCATCGTAAGTCGTGCTTCCGGCCCTTTTGGGCGGCTTTCTGTCCTTCGCTTTCGATGACATGGAAGACCACCTCTGGGTCCTGTGCCAGAGTGCCTTCGAGTCAGTTCTGGTGTCTTGGACTGGCATCCTGTCGGATAATCGTAGGGGCCGCCTTCCATGGAAGCTTCTTTCAAGCCTGGTGGCTGTGGAGACTTTGCACATGGACAGAGCACACATGGCGAATGTGTGCATGGAAAATTCAGGGGTTTTGGGGGTTTGAGGCTAAGGGTTTAGGGTATCTTGCTCAGGGCTTAGAGTCTTAGGGTTTAGGTTTAGGGCTTCGCATTCAGGATTTTAGGGTCCGCGGCCTGCCAGACATCGAGCAACCTGGAACAGCAGCTGTGAAACTCCGAAACACGATGTCTTGGACCGATCTGCAGGCAAGGCTTACAGGAAAAGTCATCAAATCGGAGCCGCATTGGGACCAAATGCGAGCTTAGCGGCTGCGAACCCTCTCTACCCACAATTCTCACAAAAGCAAGTCTGCTATTAACTCCCGACCTTCACTTGTCAGGTAGCCAAGAGTAACTGAAGCTTGAAGTTCCCCTATCCTTTACGCCGTAGCGAGGCCAAACAGACAGTTGAGGAGCTGGCGAAGCAGAACGAAGAGCAGCTGGCCTGAGTCAGGTTTAGCGGAGCCACTTGAAACCTCTCCAGCAAACACATCAAGCCATCTATCTATCCATCTATCTACATGTACATATATGTATCTGCACCTATGAAAGCCTACCAGACCCCTTTTCTTTGCTGATCCCTCCGAAAGAACTACCCATCGCTACCCAATCGGAGCGACACCATGTCAACCTGCTTAGGCTGTGATGGGACCTGGGTCAGCCAGCCACCCCAACAACGGAGCACCACACCACAGGTGGTAGGGCCGTGGTTTCCCAAACCGCGAATGCTAGCTCAGGCTCCGTTAAGGCTTTGGGGCTTTAGAGGGCTGGGCTTCAGGGGTTTTGGGCCTGGCGATTTAGAATCATCTGTGTCTTCGATCGAAACAAGCGGTCGCGGATGTGTGCGCCGTGGGTTCGCCTGACGATTACCCAGCAGTGTTCATAGCAGCGACGACTACGGAGTTGTTTTGAATGCACCTTTTCAGAAGTGCTGCACTCGTAGTTTGTGAAGGTACATAGGTGTCTGAAACCATATCAAAATGTCCGTAGATCGAAATGCTTGTTAGTCTGATGCCTTGTTAACGCGCATCCGAAAGATCGTAGGATGGACCCCAACAAACACATACGCGAAACGTAGGATAGGGATATCTTGCCCCACACAAATCCTCGATAGTCAAGCCGGCTCAGGTAAGGATATCCTCATAAAATGGTTAATTATTATGCTTATGTTCTTTGCGATGAACTTTTATTAAACCCTCAGGTAAGGATATCCTCATAACATGGTTATTCTGCTTATATTCTTTGCGATGAACTTTAAAACCCTATCTGCACCACTTGCGCACCCGAGGCAAAGCCGTGAAGCCGCCCGCAGAGCTGAAGAGGTGCACGCAGAAGCTTTTCTGGGATGGCTCCCTTCGAATGAGGGTCTTACTTGGAGGTTCGGGGGACTTAGTAAGTAGGTATTTTAGGGACTTATAAGTACCATAACCCCAATTACGGTCCCTTTTAGGGTACTTATAAGTCTACTGGATCCTTGTTTCTGAAAGCCTCACAGAAGAAGCCAGAAGCTTGGAGCATTGGCGATTGGTTCGCGGTCTTGAGGCCTAGAGCACGGGCACAAGTATTCTTTGTTTTCCGACCTGTTGGACTCTCCTACAATCTCTAACCTGGGGGTCAAGTGATTGCCTGCACTAGGGGGGGTCCTTATTGTAACTGTAGTGTAATGGGCCCCAAAACCCTATTCTAATAATTAAGGTCCCTATACTAAGCTTCACCCTAAACTTCCCTCAACGGTGAATCTCCAGCCGTAAGCTCTAAGCCCACAACCCTGATCCCTAGACCCACACAGTCCTGGTCATCCAGATTTGGACGGTTGGTGCTCAGGGTTCGAGGTTTCAGAGGACCATGTTTAGGGTTTAGGGTTTAGGGTTTAGGGTTTAGGTAAGACTGATTTTCGAAACTATCATCCTAAACTAGGTTCAGAGGTGAGTATAAGTGGGGCTATTCGTCCCCTACTATGGGTTAGAAGTATAGTTCAAAAGCTTGTACCTGGTTGAGGGTTTAGGGTGTGGCGAACCGAGATCCAACTACTCATGGGTGCCCAGTTGGCTTCTGCACGTGTCAGTCAGATGAGGAGGCAGTGAAGGATGCCCTGCAAGCCTTTCTTGGCCTTCCTGCTCGGGGTTTCCCAGTTCCTCTTCTACAGCGCTGGAAGCATCACGGCCCGTTTGGCAAGGTCATGGTGCCGAGGGTCTTGGCCCACATGACAGCTGCGAAGCCAGCCCCAAGGGTCCATGTACTCATATGGGAGTTTCCGAAAATAGGGGGCCCTTTCTTAGTACCGTTATAAGGGCCCTAACACAAGGCACCCGTAATTTTCGGAAGTTCCCGTAGAGATTATACAGTGAAGTGACCTTTGGTGTAGCCCCTGTTTATGTACTGTAGGATCCAAGTATAGATAGGGGTGCGTGGACGCTTAGGGCAGTTGTTATTCCCTAAGGGTCCATGTGCTCATATAGAGATACATGAGCCCCAAAGTACCTATATAGGGACTACATGAAGGCCAATGTATATACTCTATGGGTACATGGACCCTTAATTAGGGATTCCGAAAGATTGGACGCGCTCCTGGGAGGGGCGTCTGGAGATGGGCGGCCGGTGAGTGCTAAGGTCCGGTGGGTTTAGGGGTTTACGGGTTTAGGGCCGAGGGAACGCCGAACAATAGGTTTAATCAGGGGTACTTAGATGTTTGTTTTGTTTTCCAACTTGGGTTTCTAGAACCCGTAAGAAAGATAGAATCATAATTTGGCTAGAAGTCTAAGTTCAGTATAGTAAGTGTTCAGGAAGGCAGGGGATTAGCAGGGTAATTCAGGGTCGTAATAGCTACTAGTGGTGTTCCCTGGTTTCCTGTTGTTATAATGTTCGCAGTACATTTTCAAGACCCCGCGAAGCTCTATTACAAGAGAAAGGTCGTTTTATACTATATACTACACCCTGGAACCTAAAACAAAGTTATCGAACCCTTATTGACCTTGCCCCTATGTACATAAGGGGAAGCAAGGGTTCAGGGTTTGGAGGCGGAAGCCTACGGCCGGGAGTTGCAGCTGGAAGTGCAGAGGCACCGTCAGTATCTCTTGCTGCAAAGGATACACCTCTGAGCACTCCAGTGTGCATGTTCAGTACTTTGCGCTTCAGAGCCTACTATTTAGGGTACTATATTAGGGGCCCCCATTTTCGGAAACTCCCAAACACATTGAGACAAACCACTACACAGATCAATCGGAAGCAAAAGACAAGCCTAGTAATCCAAACTACCAAGCACGTAGACCATTAATTCTAGATGCATAAATTGCTAATTAGATGAGACTACCTACCTCGATACGTATGTATATATATATATGTAAACGAATCAAGCTAACAGAGTCTTCGGTTTTTTGTGTGTTCAGGGCCTTGGAGGTCTACTTATTCCGAAGTCTCCCTGCAAAGCCACATATAGACCGGGAATGGGACCCTTATAGATCCCTTTTAAGGAGCCCTTTCAGGAACCTTACTACTTACTAAGTCCTCTGGGCCTCCCTGTAGAGCCGGGGGTGCCTTCTCCTTCAGATGGGACCATTCTGACAGAGTTCAGGGCGGCCTGAGGCCCTATACGCACGAAAACTCTTAGGGCCCCTTTTCTGGCTCGCAATAGTTACCAATAGTTACTTGGAGGGTCGGGGCACTTAGTAAGTAGGTAGTAAGTAGACTTATAAGGTACCCTAAAAGGGACGCTAATTGGGGTTATGGTACTTATAAGTCCCCAAAATAGCTACTTACTAAGTCCCCCCCCGACCCTCCAAGTACCACTAGTCACTAGTATTTTTTTGGGGGGACTCCTTATGAAAAACATAGTATAATTTTACCACAGAACCCTATTCCCAGAGGGTCCAAGTACCCAAATAGTAGGGTTTTAGATCCCAAAAATCCATACCCTGAATGGTATTTTTGGACCTTGAAACCCTACTATTTGGGTACTTGGACCCTTACTTGGAAGGGCAGGGGACTTAGTAAGTAGGTTATAAGTAGAGTTATAAGTACCCTAAATAGAGTTACCCCAAGTATAACTTTACTTATAACCTACTTACTAAGTCCCCTGCCCTTCCAAGTAGGGATTCTGATTATCAAAGCCCCCTGGGTTTGCAAAACACCAGGCTCCAGGCGGTGTGCTCCGAGCAGAAGCAGCGGATTCGGGAGCTGGAGGCAAGCTGACCTGTTTTTTTTTCCTTGGGTCTAGGGCTTAGTGAAGGTTTATCTGTTAGTTATGGCACTTTTCGTAGGGTTTAGGGTTTGTTTGTTTTGTGAAACTTATCTGCTAGCACGGGCGGTCTGAATAATCGCACTAGGCACTAGGAGTTTGACTATGGGATGGTATGCATATAGTACGGAGCATAAGGGAATTTCGAGCTGAGACAAGTTCCGCACCGAAAATCCACGCCCGCTCCATATCCCGCATGCATTACCATTGAAGGAACACCTGTAGGAACGCTCCTTGTCTGCAATCCTAGGATGCCCAGTAGTACCCTTATTCCCTTTTTGTAGTCCTAGGTTCCTTATAAAGTTACCCAATACCAAAAAGAGAGGCCTTTTTGTTCTTAGGTTATATACTGGGTATCCTAGAATCTGTTACGTAAACCTTTCAAGCCTCCCGAAGAGATTCGATGCATGGAAGGAAACTTAAACTCATTTCAGCGAGGTAGGTGTTGCGTTGCAGTTTAAAGTCTTGCCAATGCAGGGTAATTAAAGTTCCAAAGATCGCAGGAAGTCTTCCAAGAATCCTAAACCGAGACCCTTGCATTCCGAAATGGGAGTTTCCGAAAATAGGGGACCCTAATAGAGTACTTTAAATAGTAGGAGCAGATCCTTATCATAGGGACCCCAAAATAAGGTACCCTAATTTTCAAAAAATCCCAAATCTGTGTCTGCTTGGAGGGTCGGGGGACTTAGTAAGTAGGTAGTAAGTAGACTTATAAGGTACCCTAAAAGGGACCCTAATTGGGGTTATGGTACTTATAAGTCCCTAAAATAGCTACATTACTAAGTCCACCTAAACCCTAAACCCTTTACCCTTATAGAATCCCTATAGATCCCTTTAAAGGGGCCCTTAAGGAACCCCTTATACTTACTAAGTCCCCTAAAGACCCTCCAAGTGTTGACCTGGAGGCTTCTCCGGTGGAGCGCACCGAAGATGATGGGCGCCTTGGCCACGGCAGTTTTGAGGTTTTCAGATGGGGTTTTGGCTGGGTACCGAAGATCATGGGTGCCTTGGCCACCGTAGTGTTGAGGTTTTCAGATGGGTTTTGGCTGTGTTTCGATAGACTTTGGGAATGTGGGTATGCGTAGCTGGTTATGTCCGACAAGGTGGCAGCTGCCAGCTTGGAGGATCTCTTGGTCGAGCGCGAAAGTCTGTTCGGGCACAACCGGCAGGAAAAGCCAAGAACGAGCCGTTCCATCGCTACTTTTACAAGATGGCCACGACGGATGACGGGACCGACGAATCGATGTTCAGGAGGCCCAGGTTGATGAGGGTGGCCTCAAGACTAGGACCCAGAGTAGGCCCTTATTCCCTTTTTAGGGTTTAGGTTCCCTTATAACCCCCTTTAAACCAAAAAGGGCACCCTTTTTATGCCTAGTTTACTCTTGGGTCTAGAAGAGCATTGTGGTCAATGCTCTTGGTCCTTGGTTCTTTGCCGATCCAGGTGAACGGCATAAAAGCATTCCGAAAATAGGGGACCCTAATATAGTACCCTAAATAGTAGGATCCTTATTATAAGGACCCCCAAATAAGGTACCCCTAATTTCCTGAAGAATGTGTCTTAATTGAAGTCCCTCGAGAGCAAGCTGGTCAAGGTGAACGATGAAGGGCTCGAATGCTGCGACGCTCTTGGGAGCTTAAACTGTGCCGTGCCTGCGGAGATCACTGCAGACATATTCAATGCCTCCATGCTAGACACGAGCGGATCAACCAAAAAGCACTTCACTGCTTTCATGCTAGAGACAATCAGGGTTACTGCCTTCATGCTCGAGACAGCAAGCGAACAGATCAACAGAAACACCACTTCGCTGCTTCTTTGCTTCAAACATCTTTAACTTTCTATCAGTTTTCGAAAGGAAAGTTAGGTTTAGTACTATATACATATAGTATGTATGAATAAGTTTTAGCATATCACGAAATATGTCACTTTAGATTTTTGATTCTATCAATTACTTTACGAATAAATACAAGACGGAGACCATTCCTTTAGTTTCATGCCGGCTCATAGTTCATTAGATTTCGCTTGCCTTGCCCGAGCTATCCGTGCACATATGATAATTTCCTGACGCTTGAAACCAAGCCTGCCGCTCCCAGTCAACTCTCAAGCCTTGCACAGGCCCCCCAAAGTCCATTACTTCAGCCGCGCCCACAACCCCTGAAGACGCCCTAAAGCCCACCCAGGCTGCGCTCGGTCTCTAAATTTTGGTGCCTTCTTAGGCCCCAAAATCGTACGACACCCCTTTCAAGGCGACCTTATTTTTGTTTTCGATCTGTGCCTATGAATGTCAGGAACTTTTAGAACGACGTCATGCACGTAGATCCTAATGTCGGAACCTGATTAAGAAACCTTGGGCCTGTAACCCCAAAACAGTAGGTTTCATATACGGAACCCTAATAAAGGCCCAAGGTTTCTTAATCGGGCTCCTACATCATATGGGTACTTGGCACCCTCTCGGCAATAAAGCCTTCTGAAGGCCCCCGAGCACCCACTCACTCTGCCAACCTGAGCCTTTATCCACAACCCCCCAGAAACTAACAAGACAAACCAAAACCCTGAAAACCCTAAACACTAAACCATAAAGCCTTAAAGCAAGGAAAACCAAAACCCCAAACCCTGAAAGACAAAAGACCTCGAGCCCCAAGCCCTAAACCTTAAACCCTAAGCCTTTTTTCTGGAAATCCTGAGCCCCTTAAACCCCAACCCATAGGCCACATAGTTCTTTTTTGGGGGATTACCTCATATAGGCTTCTAAATATGAACCCCAAAAAGGAACTACATGGACGACCCTGTTTCTCAAAAAACCCTAAACGCCGTAGTCGCTAAGACCCTACAGGCCTGCTGGGCCCTCGCAGCTGCCTCCGCTGCCGGGCCGCGCCAGGACTCTACTATAGGGGCCTAAATAATTACCAATACTATGTTGGGGGCTCCTTATTATGATTATAGTATAATGGGCCTCAAAAACCCTATTCTAATCATTATGGCCCCGTTATTACATCTGCCCATTTAGCGTTGGGGGCGTCAGGGGTTCAGGTTCAGGGCTTTAGCTTTCGAAGGGCTTGCCTAGACCCCCCAACTACCCTTTATATTGTAGTCCCTAATTACCTCTTAATGAGAATTGTTAGAGCCCTTTAAAGGGCATTTGGGGGGTGCTGGTAGGGTTTCGAGTTTTGGGTTAGGGCCTGAAGGGTGTCCGACTGTGGGCTTCGGGTTTGGCTGAGTACGTATACGGGGGTCAATCAATCTTCTGTGCTACCTGCAGGGTTATATCTTAGGGTTTTGCGGGTCGCTGAGCTCTAGGGTTCCTTGTTCCTTCACTACTTGAAAGAATAGTTCTAAAAAAAGGCTTCTTGGATTCAGCGGTGCAGGGTACTCTAGAGGCGTGGGGTTTTTGCTTGTTGGGTTTTTAGGGCTTTAGCTTAGGGTGTAGTGTGTAAAGTTTCTATAACAGGTTTGCATCGTTTTGTGAAGTTGTTATGTACATCTCAGGGTCTTCCTTCACATTCTGCCTGAAGTCGCAAGCATGTTTGCATGCTGGCCCGACGGTTTTTCCCTAAACTCATGTTGATGCGCAGTTCGAAGCATTCGAGACTTAAGAGCAATGCCATGAACATGTCTCAAATCTCGCGATCATGTCATGTGCCACATCGAGCAGATTGCTCGAGGGAATCGTTAATACATCAGTGAGAGAAAACATCGATTGTCCAAAGCATAAGCATATGGGCGGTTGTCAAAACTAGGGTCCCTTCTCGAAATATTAGGTGCCGTATTATAATCAGGACCCGAAAAGGGACCCGAATTTTGACAACCACCCATATGAATATGCCAGGTGAGAGTGGATAGCTCGGCCAGGCCGCTGCCAGCAGCGGGGTCTCTGGACTTGGTAAGTAAGGTTATAACTAACCTAACTATACTTATAATTACTTATAACCCCAATAAAGGTACTTATAACCTTACTTACTAAGTCCCAGGATCCTCCAAGTACTCCATGAACGAGTTGTTGAATCTGCACTTTACTCTTTGATTCGCATCTGCCCCCGGCCTGGTCCCAGTCTTCAATCGGGGCCTTGCCCAGACAAGGTCGTGCACGTGCACGCGACTTTGAACTCGGACCCATCCTTGGCTAAGGCCGCCAAGGCGAAGGTGATGTGCGCAGCCGATGGCAGTTGCGTTAATGCGGAGGCGGATGGGCTTTTGCTCAAGGCCAATTTCTTGTCCTGGAACCAGGCCCAGAAGCTGTGCAAGAACAGGGCCATGGCGCTGTTCGCGAACCCAGTCCTCTGCATGACATACGGTACCGATTTGAAGACCCGCTTATCCAACACCTCAACCCGAAGGGCCCAAGTACCAATAGAGTAGGTTCGGTGTATCCTCTACCAGTACTTGGACCCATTGCGAAAGAAGCCTCAGAGATGCTGCCCTAGAGATCCCGTTAGATGAATCCCTATAAGGATCCCCTTAGAGGAGCCTTATAAGCCCCGAAACCAGAGAGATCCCTTTAAAAGAACCAATACTGGGCTCTTGTGAAGGGATTTAATTCAAGTTACCATAATAGGGATCTATGGTAAATAATCGGGGTTTCCTTGTTGTGCTAACTTAGCTTAAATCCTTTAGCAAGAACCCCGAATATATATATATATATATATATATATATATATATAGATCCCCATGACTTGAAAGAACCTCCAGTCGGCCCGGCACTGCTGGCTCGGCGGGTAGCGCAGCGAGCGAGAAGCCACGGGGCGGGGAGCTCAGGAGCAGACGCTTGGTTTCCTACGGTTGATGATATGAATCCTAGGGTTATTTAAAGGGAACTCCAGAAAGCTGGAATATGGTTTCAGGGTAGGATACCCTATAATTTACCATAAAGGGTTTAGGATAATCATATTCCAACTTTCTGGCTTTTGCTTTAAAGGGATCTACGAGGGTTCCTTAAGGGGTTTCTTTAAGGGATCTGTAAGGGCATCTTTTCAGGGTGTACCTTTAAGGGGTTCCTTCAAGGGATCTATAAGGGTACCTTTTCAGGGGTTCCTTTAAGGGGTCCAAAGGGTTTCAGGGTTTAGGGTTTAGGGATATAAATCCTGCATTACCCATAATGAGGAATATACCATAACCCCATATAACCCCCATAGTCTAGGGTCATTAAGGTAATGCAGGGTTTATCTCATCGACCGTAGTAGTAGACTAGGTGACCTTTAACTTTGTTCGGGATTGTATAGTCTCTGCACACTATATATATATATATATATATATATATATATATCTATATACACTTTAGTTCGCTAGGAGAATTACTGGACAAGTAGGGTTTGGAGTCAGGGTAATATAGGGGCCTGAATAGTTACAAGTAATATCTTTGGGGGGTCCTTCATATAACTATTGTATCATGAGCCCAAGTTTTTTCCAACCATCAAGGCAACCTGTAGTGGGTCTGGGGGGGGGGGACAATCGAAGCTTTCGGCGAGGCAACCTTGACCTTGAAGCGTAGGCCCGCAGTTTCCACATCACCCTAATCCTCGGAACCCTAGCTGTGGCCCAAAAGACCCACCCAGGGAACTCTAGAAGAAACCCTAAACCCTAAACCCTAAACCCTAATGAGGAACCTGAAAAGGTAGGTCTTTTAGGCTACAGGTACCCAGAGGCTCCACAGTAGTTCCTTTTTTGGGGATTACCCTATAGGATTCTAGATATGAACCCCAAAAGGAACTACTATGGAGCCTATGGGTAAGCCCTTAGCAGCTGAAGGGACCCGCAGCCGCAGTGCTGCAGAGCATCCGCCCGTGGCCCCAATGGTCGTCGGACCTCAAGTTTCGGGTTCCACAACTAGGACCCAGAGTAGGCCCTTATTCCCTTTTTGAGGGTACAGGTTCCCTTATAAGCCCCTTTAAACCAAAAAGGGCACCCTTTTTACTCCTAGGTTACTCTAGGGTCTAGACAAGGATTTATGTAAAGGGTTCAGTGTTTACCTCAACCCTGGATAACCTACTTTTTAAGGGCTCCTTATTATGATTTCCTTATATAAGCCCTCAAAAAGGCAGGTTATTCCGGGTTAAGGTAGGGTTTAGAAGTTTCGGGGTTAGGGTTTAGGGGTTTAGGGTTTAGAGGTGTGTTTAGGGTTCTGTGAGGGGGATCCGGCAGGCCGATTTTGAGTGGTTTGGGCTGTTTGGTGTCACGTTCTCTGGCCAAAGAGCCCCGTACTTCTTACCTGTGCATCATACCTACGCCTACATCGTCATAAGACACACCATATGGACTAAGATTCCAGATTCCTTGATGAGGTCTTTGGGTTTAGGTTAGGACTGGGAGGCCTCAGGTTCGAAGGTCACGTGCAGGTTTGCCCGAACCAAGATTGAAGCTCTCGTGTTGTGGATGCCACTGGTTCAGATGCGCAAATTATAGACTCCCCTAGGCCCGAGGTACAAACACGTACTATGTATGCCTTGGTACCTAGGTTTTCGCTGGGTGCAAAGCACAGACTCCGGTGTCGAACCTAACAGCTCTAAACCTATCATGTTTGATATCATGCTCCGCGGCGCTCTGGCAGATGTCGGGATCGGGTTCAGGGTTGTGGCCCAAGTAACTTGTATCTCCATTGCAGTTCGTTCTTTTGAAACAAGCTTGTGGACAGCAGCCGACATTCAAATCCGGGGGGGGGGGGGGCAACCAATAAAAGGAACTCTTCGTGCAGTCTGCAGTGGAGACCAGGGACAAACATACAAATGCTTCTGACTGTCTACATCGGGCTAACTAACATCATAGTGGAACGAGTAAGGTACTTAGTCCAAAACTGTCTGGCAAAGGCCTGCTGCGCTGGGAGGCTATCAAAAAGCAGGCGCAGACCCCAGAGAGCAGCAGCTGATTATGGCGGCATGTTTTTCTCGACTTAGAAGCCTTTCTGTTGTCTTCCAGCCCATGATCAAAGCTTGCTTTTGATGGGCTCCTTCTTACGAGAATCCGGAGGCTTTTCAACAAAGCTTAAACCAAAGCCCTTGCAGCACCAGAGCAGCGCGCACTGGAACACGCACACCCGGACACACAACAAGTAATGAGCAGCAAAAGCAACAGAAGGACACCGGCCCAGGACAGTGCTTTCTTTCCATGCCCTAAACCCTAAGCCCTAAAATCTTAAACCCTAAACCCTATAAGCCCTAAACCCGAAACCCTAAGCTCTAAAACCCTGAACCTTAAGCCCTAAACCCTGTAAGCCCTAGACCCTAAAGTGCTTTCTTTCCATGCCAAGTAGAGGTGCCAGTGACGGACGCCTGCCGCCCGGTGGGCTCCCTGGTGCAGGGTTTCTGGTGGCAGCGTTCCTAATCCGTACCCCCTACCCGTCAGCCCCAGAGTAGTTCCTTTTGGGGATTACCTTATAGGGTTCTAAATATGAACCCCAAAAAGGAAATACTATGGGGCCTATTCCGTACACCCTACCCATCGGCCCCATAGTAGCCATAGTAGTTCCTTATTGCTGTTCTTAGTTAGAGTCGTAGAAGGTAATCCCACAAAGGAACTACTATGGGGCCTATGGGTAAATCCAGCAGTTTAAGATTTGAGCAGACTTTTGGAACCAGTGAGTGTTTCTTTCGGGCCGAGCAGTTGCTCAAGCATAGGTCTCCCTGCTCCCAAGTAGACTAGGTAGGGCTTTGGGACATTTTATACTTCCCCTTATTGGGCTTAAGAGGATCTTATTTACTAATATTTTTCAAAGGCTTTAAAAGCCCCACCTAGTAGAGACTTCTCACGTATTTGTGCCATCACCCGGGGACTATGTCTCCCAATGTCCGCTTCAGCGTATTTTCCCCTTTTGGCATTAAGGGCTCTTTCGCACCAGCTGTCAGAAACCAGAAGAACAGGAACAGCGGCCGATGGGAGCCACTTCCGGCGGACTTGCTTTCAGTTGTTTGTTGGGAGTCAGAAATTAAGAGCAGAATCAATGGCCGCTCGAGCCACCGTCCCCTTCGTCTGCTGTGAGTCAGAAGTCGTTGTGGCCGATGGAAGTCACCCTGGCCTGCGGGACTTGCTCCAAGTGATGTTCTGTTTCTGAAGTCAGAAGAGCATTGGGTCTTGGTTTTCGAGCTCACCATACTGGCCGGGTTTTGCTGGTACGGTTGAAGTTGGGGCGGAGGCAGGAGCCGACATAGATCAAAACGCAGCACGAGTAAGGGCGGTCGTTTTTTTTACGATATTGCTTGTTTATATAGGTTTGATCATGTAGTACTGTACACCACAGGCGAGTTGGGATTGTGGACGTGACGCAGACGTCTGCTGGACGAATGGCACAGCACTGGATGGCCCAGTGAGCATGTGATCCTCATGTTTAATTTGCTTAGCAGCATGAACTTTGGCATGAACAAACCTTTACCTCTGCATCCATGCTTATATACGCTGTAAGTTGGAGCCACTGTAACCGTATGGTCCAAGACAGCCAGATTTGCGAGGGCCAGAAACCAGTCAGGGTATGGTTTTTGGGCTTCAAAACCCAGCTGTTGGGTGCGTGTGACATGAGGCGCCATTCGACGTGGTGGCAGTGTCCCTGTGCGAAAAGCTGGTACAGGCAAGTTCCAACATGGATGCACGAACCAACTCTCCGCAAGGTTTGGGGCACCTGACCGTGTCGTGTTTAAGCTTTAAACCGCACCGCAACTCGTATCTGTCCCCTCCCATCACACTCCACACCGTCAAAGTAAGTGTATGCTTTGTTCATTGCAACATTGCAAGCTTGTGAGCAGGTATTGTAAGTATACTTGAAGTGTCGAGGCCCCTGTCACAGGTCTGCGGTGCGTGGAAGTTCTTGCCAACCCGTCCCAAAGTTTTATGATGCTGAACCCTCTGGTATTCCTGGCCGGTGAGGTTGGGTTCCCGGTGTGGAGACCTGCAAACCTAGAAACTATAGTCGAATGAGGAATTGGTTTTTACTTTTTAGTTCATATAAAACTCAAGAGGATTTTAGACTAGAAACAATAACTTTATCATGGTTCTAAGGGGGGTATAGGAAAACCTAAACGATGCAACCCTAAACGCCCGAAGCCCTAAAGCACTCAAGCTCTAAACCGCAATGCCATGACCCTAAATCCTATTTCCGAAAATGATGCCCACACAGCACACCCATTAGACCCGATCAATATGTATCGTTATACACCTACAGCGCCTAGAACACCAACCTCACAACACCAAACCTTAAATCCGCAGGCCAAACACCAAACCCTTCCGTCGGATAAGCCCCCCTAGCGAATGCTTCTAAGGCCCTGTCAACACACCTCATGTGGGAGGTCGGGAATCCCCGAATCTCAACCCTATTTTTGTGGGATCCCCAAAAACGCTAAACCTCAAACGACCCCTAAACCCCGAACCCTCAACCGTGAAGATTTCGGGCTGGGTAGCATGATGAGGGAGACCCCTTAAAGGGTACCCCTTCCGAACCCTACTTCTGGCTCCTTATTGAGGGGGTCTATATCCTTACCTTTGGTTACTATTACCTCTTTCCCCCACTCCCTACTAAGCAGAGGTAAGTTTCCGGGCACCCTATACATCCCTTTAAGGAGCCCTTATGACCCCTAAAACCCCGAAAGGCCTCAACCGGGAAGTTTCCATACCTTTGGTTACTAGGGAATGGAAGAATGGTAGTAATCGTAGATATAGTTCTACCTCTTTCCTCCACTCCCTACCAAGCAGAGGTAAGTTTCCGGGCACCCTATACATCCCTTTAAGGAGCCCTCATGACCCCTAAAACCCCGAAAGGCCTCAACCGGGAAGTTTCCATACCTTTGGTTAGTATAGATCCCTTATAGTAACCCTTATAGACCCCCTTAAAGGGAGCCCTACCATTCCCTACTAACCAAAGGTTAAATCATATTTGGGATCCTGCTATAATTTCAGGCATATTCCTTTATTAACGGATATTAGAAACCCTTGAACCCTAAACCCTATAGATCCCTTATAGATCCCTTAAAGGAACCCTAAACCCTATAGATCCCTTATAGATCCCTTAAAGGAACCCTAAACCCTATAGATCCCTTATAGACCCCTTAAAGGAACCCTAGGTACATTCCTTATAGATCCCTTAAAGGAACCCTAGGTATATTCCTTATTGGAGTCTCTGGGTCCCACGGGCAGGCCCCGTGCTGCCCCACCCCTTGGCGAAGCAGCCTCGGAGTTCGAGCCCGGCGGCTGGCCAAGTGCAGAGGAAGGGCTTCAGTTACGATTGGTGGATTTGGAGCGTATATCTATATATATATATATGCATATACATATATGATCATAATACATATTGCAAGATGTATGTGTATATATATATATATATATGCACACACATGTACACACATATGCATATATATAAATATATACATATAGGTACACACATACACACTGTTGTTGCAGCTGTTTGGCGCTGCTCGGTCTTGTTTACGTGTCTTCGGTCATATTGATTTGGGGGAGTTTCAAGCATGTTCACTGGCGCTTGTTGCGGACAACAGAGTCTGAATACGAGGACACAAAGTCGGAGGGTTTCAGGGTCTCGCTTGCACACCGACCCCCCTCAACTGTGCGTCGCTTCCTACACATAGCTTGCCAAAGTCAGAGTACTAAGAGTCCACCGTCTAGATTAGGTGCAGCCTTCCCCAAAAAACATGTCAGGCGTTCAGGGTACCCATAGGCCCCATAGTAGTTCCCTTTTTGGGTTCATATTATGTAGAATCCTTCAAGGTAATCCCAAAAAGGAACTCCTATGAGGCCTATGGGTACAGCAACCATGTTGAGTGAGCTTGGCGACCCTTCGGATTGTCAGTGGGACAGAGGTCATTGTCTTGCTCTTGCACAGGCGGCACAACCTGTACCCCAAAGGCTTCATATACCTTTAATAGTAGATACTTGAGCCTTACAGGGGTTTACAGTACAACTTCAAATCGTTGGTTAGCCGTCAGATAGGAGCGTTTCGGGACCTCGGTGGATGCTTGCGAAGGCCAAGATTGAGAGAGGCAGGAGAAAAGAGAAAGCGACCTCAATTCTTCAGCGTTGCAGGCAGAACAGAATTTTGAGGTGCCAAGGCTGCAGGACTAGGCTGGGAGCATATATCCTCGTTGCACGGGTCTGTGCCCTGAACGTGAAGCCGGGAGCCCAAATCGTCCTCTCTGAACCCTGACCGGCATCAAAAACAGACTCTTTGCATGGCTCGCCAGACCATACGCAGCCAGAGACTTGGACGCTGAGTATGGACTGCAGGTTAGCATTTATCGCAGCTTTATCGCTCGAACGAGCTGTTATTTCCTTTCAATCCTGTGGCCATGCATTTGTCCATGCAGTTGCACCCGTACACTTGCGTTTCGCCGGACAGCCCCATCCCCTGCAACCACCCCTGCTTGGGCTTGGAGTTCGGGCAGCAGCACTCGCCTGTGTTGATGGGGTCACCGCCCACGTCCGCCACCTCGCCGGAAGTCTCCCACACCTGCTTTCAGTTTTCCTCTTTGCGTTGATGTTCGTCATATCATTAGTCCTGTACTATCAAAACCAACAGCACAAAAGAAAGATCTCAAAGCAACCGCTGTTGGTGATGGCCTTGCGTCGCCTTGCGAACTACTGAGTACGCAGAGGCTTTCGAGAACACATGGGCCGGAGAAAGAGGATCAGCGCGCAGAGCTTTCGGGCCGTCTCGAGGCTTTGAACACGACCATGGCTCTTTGACCCCCGAAGTCCAGAGTCGCTGAGCTTGACAGGATTCTCTGCCGCATGCCAGCATGGACATGCAGTTTGCCTTCAACATGGAGTGGGCATTTCCAGGCAACGATGCGGCCTTTGCCTTGCGAGCTTGGGCGGGGGTGATTTGGAAGACGATTTGCACCACTACAACGCTTTCATGGCGCAATGGCGACCTCGGCCGTCTCTTCACAACTATCGCACATGACAAAATCACGGATGCCCTGCTGGCAGCGGCGGAGGACTTGCGTGGTGTGGAGAGTGCCAGGGGTAGTACTAATAAGTGGAAGGGCGAAACAACGCTGCGCTATCTCAAGTTCCTGGCTGCAGAACTGGAGAGCCGACGCCACAAGCTCGGCTTGGGCTGGAGAGACCGCCGCCATCCCATCCAGGTGCCAGGAGGGTTTGGCTCGGCGGGTGCTCCAAACGACCAGCGGCACCAATTCTGGCGACTCTTGCGCAAGGCTTGGCTGCGCAAAGCGATTGGCAGCACCACCACCCTGCCTACGGGAGAACTTACGACGAGGCACAATTTGACCTCAGGGGGAGAGCAACATTCAGTGCCCGCTCAGGGTTTCCCTGCATGCGGACATCTACGCCTTAAATGGCACTGAATAAGGTTCTGGGGATCCCAGAAGCTTGAGCTTCTGGCAGGTTCTCTTGAAAGCTGGTGGGCATCCTGCCCAGAGCCTGTCCGAAAGGCCTTGCAGCATTATCGAACTGATTTCGAGGGCCGTCCCATTTACGTCCTCGGTGTTCTGCGAATCGAAGTCGAATGCGCTGCATCAGACTCAACGGTGGACGAATCGATGCCAAGCTTCGCCTGCACGATCAGCAGCGCCACCGAATCATTCAGAACAGGGCAATGCAGACACGACTGTAAAGGAAGATGTTCACATCAGGATGCCAAGAGAGAAGACAAGCCCAAGCTCTTACTATATGGAGCCGTATAGAACCCGTATAGTAACTCCTATGGCACTTTGACAGGAATCCCGTATAGTTCTTTAATGGGCTGAGTATATAATATACTATATGGGTACATGGAGCCTTAGGGTATCTTTCGGGGAGATGTCCGGAGGACTCCACCACCTTTTGGCGCGGGGATCCATCGAGTGGCCAATAGTGACTCGAGGCCCTTTGTTGAGGGTGTTGGGGAGCTTAGGGTTTAGTTATTAGAGTTTAGGGTTTAGGGCAGGGATTGGGGTTTTGAATGATAGCGATTTGGCGTTTTGGGTTTAATGTAGGAACCTGATTAAGAAACCCTTGGACTTTATTTGCTTATGGGGCCAGGGTTTCTTAATTAGCAGTTTAGCAATTGCAATAGTCTTACGATACCTACTACAATCTGTGCACAACCACACACAACAACTGAAATCAGCAATGCTGATGCTTGTGCTACTGCTACTGCTGCTCCTCCTCCTGCTCCTCGTCCTCCTCCCCTCCGTCTGCAGCTGCTGCTGCTGCTGCTACTTTTACTACTATTACGACGACGACGACGACTACTACTACTACTACCACCACTATTACCACCACTACTATTATTACTACTACTACTGCTACTACTACTACTACTACTACTGCTGTCCCTACCAGTACTTCCACTACTAGTACTACTGTTGTTACCACATATTTCCTGGTTCTGTCACTTGCACTAGTGCTACTACGACGTACTCTTCCTTCTTATGTTCGCTGTTTTACAAGTATCTAGGACACTTCAGGCATTGCTCGACTCACCGCAGCGCGCAGCAATTTTATCCTAACCCCTTTGGCAGGCCAAACAGTGGCGCAAGCCGTCCAAGCAGTTCTCAGCGTGCGGAGAGCGAGGCCCACTGCCTCTGTCGAAAGACGGTGTCCTCCGTTTTCCCGAGGGCATTGTGGACAACCCTGAGTGGGTTTAGGGCCTGCGGTTCTGAGTGCTGCACGATGGTTTGGTGTTCATAGACATTAATCAACAACATCCCGAAAGTTGAAACTTCTGCCTCCGTCGCGATTGGGGGAGCTACTGGACCAGTTCGCTCTCAGGGTGTATCTTACTGCCTGCAAGCGAGACCTCCTGCCGAGATGGTTCCAGCCACTTGCAGCCAGGCTTAATAGCGGCACGCACCACGTCACAGGGCCGATCACCACTGAAAGCACTTTCTCCTTTTTTTTGTCGAAATCCCCGAAGCCTGCACCCTCATCTCTCGTAACACCAGATTTCTGACCCAAAATACGTCAGCCCCATGTACTTCGATATCTTGGCTTTTGGCTTCGTAAAGTGACTCGAGCAGCAGCTCCAGGGCTACCTGAGTAGTAGGTTTTTGGTCATTGATGATGTGACCCAGTATCTCATTTAGGCAACCGGATCCTTAGCGATTTGTTCAGACACTATCTTCCGGTTCAGGCGCAAGGTGAAGAATCAGGGTCAGACAGCAATTCAGTTTGATTTGTGCAACAGATGCAGCGGATCATGTTCTCCAAGCCCCACCAGGCCCAAACTCATGAATGTATTCATGTATGTGTGCGTGTGTGTCTATATGCCTGTGTGCGTATATGTATATGTAAATGTAATATTTTGCACTATGTACATGTAGATGTATATGATATACATGTATGTGTATGTATGAATGCATGTCTTGCTGTGTGTGTATGTCTGGACGGATGCATTGATGTATGGAAGAATGTAGATATGTACGTATGTACATATGCATGCAGTCATGGATGGATGGCTGGGTTGGTGCGTGGGTGGACGAATGGATGGATGGATGCATGCATGTTTGGATGGATGCATGGATGGATGGGTGATGTGTGTATGCATGCATGCATGTATGCAAGTATGTCTTTGTTTTGCTTGATACTGTTTGGTTGCACTCGGAGGCGGACCTGGGTATTGATGATACCATCCCCAGCGAGTCCGATGACTCCTCTGACGAGGAGGCGAGCGCTGATGGGTTCTGATTTCAAGAAATCGGAGGTTGAGTTGAGGGCTTACCCGTGACGGTTGACGGGTTTCGGTGCGTTTAGTGTTTCGGTGCATTCTCCTGAAGCTTTGAGACCTTTGCCGCGGTCTGTCCGCAATGCAGTTTATCTGCTCGAGGCCGGCAGAGGCCACAGGGATCAAAGCTCCCAACACGTACAAAGCCCCGACAGAACCCTTGTATTGTAGAATTCTGACAGAACCCTTGCTCATAGAACCGTCATAACGTAAACTGCTTGTGGGATCCACACCGCCCTTTCCAGTTTCAAGCTCCCCAAACCAATAAAAACCCTGCGCAAGCAATTCCTGAGCATACCTGGGAGTTTCCGAAAAATGGGGGTACCTTAAACTGGGATCCTTATATAACGGATCCTACAAGTTCGGGTGGGGATGCTCAGAGATTCGGGTAGTAGATTAGGGTCCCGTATTTTCGGAAACTCCCGTCTCTGGCATGCTTGAGTGTTCAGGGTTTGGTGGGTCCCACAATCTCTGACTACTATTTGCTTAAGAAACCACCCAAAAATGAAAATAATAATCCCTATATTACCCCCATAAGGAATATATTTTAAATTTTTTGGTGGTTCTTAAGCAAATAGTAGCTGATTAACGCCCCTCAAGAGAGTAGTAGCTGAGTAAGCAACGGTTGACCTTTTGGGGTTTATGTAATCCTACCATACTTGTAAGGGTAAACCTTTTGTGGGCTAGGATACTCAGCCCATTTAAAAAACCCTGATTACCAATATATGGTCCGTAAGTCCCAGGCTGACATGGTAAGTCCGAGTCCAGAGCCTAAGGGAAGAAGGGTTCAACCCTAAACCGCTACGCCCGGGACCCCCCTAAAACAAAACGTTATGTGTATGCGCATATCTGTATAAATATCTATTCATATATATATATATATACATAAATTTGCTGGAGAGAAAGAGAAAGAGAGCGAACGCGAGAGAGAGGTACCTATATACACATAGATATACAGCACTGAATCGTCTTATAAACGGCTCACAAAACGGGGCAAGAAGTGTCCACCAGTCACTGATGTATGATGATCTCCATCATCGTGCCAAAGGCGCCACGCAGACCCAACCCCGAAAGCAAACCCAAACCCCAGACGACCCCCTCACCACAGGCGGGGGGAGCAGCATCACCATCATCGGTTTGGGTTTTGCTTGGGACCTTTAGTATCGTCGTCATCATCATCCAATCAGGGCTTGCAATGAGGTCTGTTGTCTCAGAGAAGCCGTAGCTAAGGCTGAAGCCGCCAGGTGTTGACAGCAGTGAAGGCCGCCGCATGACGTGAGGCTTTGAACATCAAGGCCCGTCTTGCGGACTAGACTTTAAAATTAGGGGTACCTTAGTTGGGGGTCCTTATAATACGGATCCTACTATTTAGGGTACTGTAAATCAGCAAAGGTGGGATGAAGAATGAAGAGTTCAGGGACTTGGGTTTATGGTCTTGCGGACTATGCATTAAACAGATCAGAGCGTCGAGGGATCATGGATTAGTGCTTGAAGGCTTGGTTGGAGGACCCGGAATTCTCTTTGTGTGTTTGAAAAGGAACAAACATGTAGTGTTCGGCTGGGATTCGACATACCGAAAATTCCAGATGTCGGTCAATGACAGTTAGGATGGGGTGTTGGGACATATTACTGCGGTAGGACGAAAGTTTGACCTTTTCGTTGCTTCGTCGACCACAGGCCCCCATCCCTGTTTTAAACCCTAACACCAACAGTACCCACGGGATACTCCTCCGGAACATTAAAGTAGTAGAATTTCCAAAAGGCCCAGTAGGTCAAAGCCTGTGTCCTCCTGATGTAGTAGCAGTAGCAATATATTCTGACTATAATGCTGTATTATCCCGAATTGTTCAGACCACTTTAGCGGTGTTTCACCACCGTGCTCACGGCTAGATCTGCCAAAGAGCTTACTCGCCGGAGCAGGCAGCGCCTAGAAAAAGGCACGACTGTCCCGAACTCTCGTATACAGAATGTCATGTAGCTGCCAGCCGCGGTATGCATGATCATCAAGTTAGTACATGGGAAGTCTCGAAAATTAGTGTCCCCTTCCATTAGCTTACTCTTCCTTCAATGTCTTTTCTGTGTACTTAGCATCACGACATTATTATCTTTTCGACGCTCAACCTTATTATGTGTTGTCATCATTTCTGTGCTACGAACTATCGCGCATGGGGTCAGTCTGGACCTTGCTGTCAGTATCCATGTCTGGTTTCGCCGTCTGTGGTTAGTGTGGGGTCGGAATAAGTCGAACTGTTGATGATATAATTCCTGTATTACCTTAATGACCCTCAACTCTTGGAGCTACCTTTGAAGGTTCCCTTAAAGGGATCTATAAGGGTCGTTGTCAAAATTATGGTCCCGTTTTGGGGTCCCTAATATACTACGGCACCTAACATTTAGGGTACCCAAACAGGGATCCTACTGTTGACAACCACCCATAAGGGTTCTATAAAGCCCTAGGGCTCCAAGTATACACATAGCACCTACATTGGGGTCTAAGGTCTATAAATACGGTTGATGATATAAATCCTGCATTACCCATAATAGGAAATATACCATAATTCCTATAGTTTAGGGTCCTTAAGGTAATGCAGGATTTATATCATCAACCGTAGTATCTACTTTGGGCTGTTTGGAGCCACAGGGAAGGGTTCAGGAAGATTGCCGGTGCTGTTCGTGTCACTACGGTTGATGATATAAATCCTGCATGACCTTAAGGACCCTAGACTATGGGAATTATGGTATATTCCTTATTATGGGTCATGCAGGATTTATATCATCAACCGTATGGATCTGCATCCTCTACTCTGACCTTTGGCTACCTATGGGGGGGGGGGCTTAAGCAGGAAGGGGGCTCCTTTAAAGGAATCTATAGGGCTCCTCTAAAGGGATCTACCCTGGGGTTTAGGGTTCCTTTAAAGGGATCTTTGCCTTTGGTTAGTAGGGAATGGAGGAATGGGGTACAATTATATCTACTATTACTACCATTCTTCCATTCCCCACTAGCCAAAGGTAAAATTAAATCATTACCAATGCCATTTGTGGAGCGGCACGTTCTCGACAGGACTTTGCACGACCGGAAGAAGAATGCAATTTTGAGGGTTCCTTGTCTCAGGTATAGCAAAATGGGCCCCAAAACCCTATTCTAATTATTAAGGCCCCTATATTAGGCAGCTCCGTTGCAGGTCCGGATCCATGGTTTTGAACTTTTGCAGGCCTCTGACCCTCAAAATGGCCCAAAGGCCTCACATACTATGGTTTTTTGTGCGCAAAAGCCTTAAGATATGAGTCCTTAGAGCCCTAGGGTGCTTTGCATGTACATGAATCCCGAGAACATGTCGCGGAAGCGTTCAGGTCCAAGAGACTGGCAGGAGTCTGGGCCGAACAGGAAGAACTTTCAAGCCTACTCGGTTTCAATGTTGGGGAGTCTACACACCCCCTGAACCCTAAACCCTAAACCCTGAACCCTCAACCCTAAACCCTAAACCTCTAGCTACCTGCAGAAGTAAGCCCGAACTGCCCTAAAGTCGTAAAGCCGAGACCCCTCAGACGCCCTATCGTAGATGCGAGGTCTAAAGAACACTAAACCCTGAGCTTCCAAAGAAGGCCCTAAAGGGACATCATCTCCCATAAAAAAAGCCCTGAACCTTAGATTTGCCATGAAGCCTTACCAAATACATGTCTAAAGAACACCAAACCCTAAACCCTAAACTCCGAAACTTTCAACAAAGCTTCTAAAGGGACATCGTCTCCCCAGTGGCCCCGGTCAAAAAGAAAAAATCCTGGCCCCGGCGCGATTCCTGGAGACAGCCAAGGCCGCAGAGGTCGCAAAAAGGGTTCCTTTGAAGGGTTCCTGTACTACTATTTGCTTAAGAAACACCAAAAAAATAAAAATAATAATCCCTATATTACCCCCCATAAGGAACATATTTTTTTTATTTTTTGGGGGTTCTTAAGCAAATAGTAGTGTAGAAAGGGAAACTATAAGAGTTCTATAATAGGGCTCTGTGGTATAGTGGCTTTAGCAAGAAGAATATCCTATTCCTTGCGGTTCCTTTAAAGGGGTCTATAAGGGCTATTATACGGATATAATATAGGGGCCATGGTTGGGGGGTTATGCCCACGCTTGAGAGGCCATAAGGGCTCTATTAAAGGGCCCTTCGGGTCTTGGTTGATCACTGTGAGTTTCCCCTAAACCAAAACCCCAAACCTTGAACCCTAAACCCTAAGCGCTAAACCCTTAAACCCTATAGTATCCTATAGATCCCTTCAACAGTTCTGGGCCATCACGACCGGCTTCTTTGTAGCAAGTTAGGGCTTCGGGTTTAGGGACTGCATTTAAAGGGATCTATAGGGTATTCTGGGGTTCAGAGTTTAGGCTTTCGGGGTTCCTTTAAAGGGATCTACGGGGTACTATAGGGTATTACAGGGTTTTGGGTGGGGTCTCTGCATCTTACAGCCTACAAGCGAACTTAAGGTTTAGAGTTTGAGCGAGCGCTTTGGCTGCTTTCCTACTTGGACTTCATCAACGTTGGATCCCTTAGCCTATCAAGCCCACAGGCAATGCAAGCCAATACGTTCATGTTCAGATAGGCAGATATGTGGGTAGATAGACGGTTCTGTATGCTGCGAGTACTTGTTCGTCCACTTCGGGCTCATATTAATATACCGCTCTTTCTCAATCATGCGTTCATGCCTTTTTTGATGCGCGTGCCCAACTGTAAGTGTGCATTTACACTGTGGAAAAACGGCCACAATCATGCAGTTATAGGTGGGTATGTGCATATACATGTATAGGTGTGTGTAGATATACAAACAGAGTTTTATACATGTAAATCTCTATGTATAAACATGTATGTGTATATGTATGTAGATTGATGCCCAAATGAGCATATCTAAACACATGTATGTGTAACACATATGCAAATATACAGTGCGTTCCTTTCTTGAACTTTTGATTCTGCGAGTCGGCCAGCCAGGTACCCAGCCAGTCAGTCAAGAGTGGCAGAATGCGCAAACTCTGAACCTGCAACTGACCTGCAACCCACAACTCAATTAAGCTGAGCTCCCGTTCAAAACACAGCCTGAAGCACCAGAACGCCCGAAACTCCTGAACTGCACCTAAAAGTGGTCAGGCAGGTCGGAACGTGTACATGGACCTTGCCATTCTACTCATCTTACTAGGCCATCACGTTTACATCAGCAAGCAGACTCGAAATACAGAATCCGACACCGTGGTCCGACGGTTTAAGAGTCGACACATGCAAACGTGTCCCTCAGGCTGTCTAATGTGACAACCCTCAGCCGCAAACACTAAACCCTTAACCTTGAACCTTAAACACAGTAGCCGCAAACCTCCAAACCCTATTGAGGGCCGTCAACCTTCTTACCCTTAACCGTCCAGGCCCCTTTGGAGGCATGGCGGCCAGGGCCCTATCCACTTCGGTCTCCAGAGTGCATAATCATCATATAGTATGAGATCCAAGAATCAGTAACAGCGTCCCTTGGTAATGTAGGAGCCTGAATAAAGAATAATTGGGCCCTTATTAGGGTTCCTTGTATGAACCCTACTATTTTGGGGTTGTAGGCCCAGGGTTTCTTAAGTGCTGATTGAGCCGGCTTGATATCGATTATACAGCGACCGGTCGAGTTTAGCAGCACATGAAAGCCTACCATACTCTGAGGTTAATCTTCCATTGGCCAGAGAACCGGTAGCTAGGTGCAAGGATCCACTTCTGCCTGAGAACCCGAAGCGTGAAGCCCCAAACTTTCGGTTCCTGCATCGCAGATTCGTCCGCCAATGGTAAGGATGCTTTGTTCATCTTGTCGCGACCTAGGGCAGTTCTCCTGAACAGTACCATGCCAACTAGTTGGACTAGGGTTGCAATTGTAGGTTGTACTCTTGGGAAACTTATCACCACTGTCAGGGGCTTTGCTTGTAATGACTAATTGCCTCTATCGCTGCAATTAGCGCTCGCCTGGACCATCCAGGATTCAGGGTTAAATGATGTTAAGTCCTAAACACCTGCCGCTTTACAGCAACGCCGTTCCGTGACTACCGTGACAATGCGCGGCAACACAACTGAGCGTTTCGAGCAGCGACACGAGGGCGTGTGTGCAATCATGGGCTGACCGGCAAATGCAGCCTCTTCCAAATGGAAGATTGCTGGCAGCAACGAGGTACGTCCCAACCCAACGCGCTGTCGATTGACTGCATGGCCGATTTAGCTCAAGTCTGGCACAGAGCTCAGCTCATTGCCGGTGCTGCTCAAGTGAGCGGCACGTACTGTGAAGAATCGTGCTGGAGGCTGCGCAGAGCTGAACCTAGACAGAGCAAGAGAACCCTCTAGATCCCTAAAAAGGAACCCCTAAACAGCCGTGTGTAACTCAAAAGCGCCCCGAGCGGCTCGAGGAGTCGGAGCCCATCATTCGCCAAAAGCGCGGGGCCTTCCTGGACCGCCTTAGTAGAAGGGTTTAGGGTTTAGGGGTCAAGGATTAGGGTTTAGGGTTGCAATAGAAATGATAGGGCACTACAGGGTATTTTGATAGGGTTCAGGGTTCAGGGGTTTAGGGTTTAGGGATATAATATACACCAAAATCCTGGCTTTTTACCTATTGAGGGAGTAACAATGATAATGGTGGGCATCGAAAGCGATACATGTAGTCTCCTTAGGATTTATTTTCATGTTTGTTCATATGATTATGAACCCCAAAAGAACTTCAAACATAGATTTTAATATGGTTCTAAGGGGGCATAGATAAAGCACCACAGCGTTGGTTTTTGTAAGTGTGCTTGGGTGGTTTAGGGCTTCGGTTTACGGTGGGGGCATGCAGGGGCGGGGAGGGGGGAGGGCATTGAAGGTTTCAACAGCCCACAGTGGGTTTTGTGGAAGTGTTGGAATGCAGCCGATACCGTAGGCTCAGAGGGTGTTTAGATTTGTTGGGCTGGTTTCATACTGCTTCATAGTGACGTGTGGAAGCTCGGTCTTTGCGGTTCACTGTGTAGCTGAGTAGGTAACCTTTACCGTACTTTAACCTTTTGGGGGTCTATTTAAGCCTACCACAATTGAAAAGGTTAACTCTTGTTGGGCTACTTGGAGGATCATGGGACTTAGTAAGTAAGGTTATAAGTACCTTATTTGGGTTTATAAGTATAGTTACTCTGATTAGAACCCTAGTTACTAAGTCCCATGATCCTTTAAGTAGGGTAGTCAGCCTCTAAGTTCAAGACTTCCGAAATCGACTTAACAGGGTTTACACGTGTCTTTGGGGGCCTTAATGCTTGGAAGAGAGTTTTCACATGGGTGGTAGTGTATTCGTTATCTTCAGTCTTGGTAACCAATACTTTCCACAACAAAGGCATGACAAGACTACAATCAAATGACCACAAGTTAACACTACCGAGAGCCAACAACAGACAACAGACACCAGCAACAGCAGCAGCAGCAACAGCAACAGCACTATGTGTACATCTATGTGTATATATATACATATATATATAACTTATATAACATCTGTTGTTGTTTCTCTTTTTTGCTCATCTATCTGTTTACATAAAGATGTAAACATATACATATGTGTATATATATATATATATATATATACACACACACACACACACACTTGAACGCCAGGACCCCAGCTCCATGACCCGGCCTCCGCCCGCGGGGCCGGGAGCTCGTCCTTCGGAGCTTCGGACCCGACACCAACCAGAGACTCCAATATCACTTAATTAAGGAATGTACCTTAAATTATAGTAGGATCCCTAATATGATTTAAGGAATATTCCTTAATTAAGGGGTATTGGAGTCTCTGGGCAACCTACCTCTTTTAGGGTTCCTTGTTGGAGTTCAGGGGCTTCGGGTTCCTTAAGGGGCTTAGGGTTCCTTATTCGGGCTTTAGGGTTTAGGGTTCCTGATTAGGGCTTAGAGTTGAGGCTTCGTTATTAGGGCTTCTATTTATACTTGCTTAAACGGTAGAGGTTTTTGCAGCTTCGGATCTCACTTGGGTGCTTTTGGACGATGCTGGAGCCCTTCAGTAAAGCGTTCTTTTAAGGGCTCCTCGATGTGTTTGTGGGGTTTTGGGACTGCCACATGCACTTTTTTGATTTCATAGCACTTGCTGCTGCCAAAGCTGACATCAACATTGGATATGCATCGCCAGTGTGGCCGACGAGCAGCAAGATGCATCGCGCGAAGGCACTCTTAACGAGTCGACTGGAGCCGAGCCCCCGCGAGTCGCATCGGAGTATCCCTATAACTGCATAGCATATGTCACAGGAGCATCCTTGACGAGCCGTTTTATGGCTTTCCGCATTTTCATTGTCAAATTGTATCAATGTTATCTAGCTGTCTCTCTGTGTTGGAGATTGGGTCGATGCGTTGTGTTTGGAGCACTAAGGAGGAGCTGACGGTGTCACAGCCTTTGAGGAAGGGTGTTGCCTCCGCTGAATTGCTTGGGAACAATGCATTCACAATGCCATCAGCATTCCAGTGTAGCTCCTGTTGTGCATTTGCTTCGTTTGGCAAGGACTCTTTCCTAGGAAGACCAGGAAAATGCTTGCAAGTGAGGGCCTCAGCCCCAAACCTTAACAACATAACATTAGACGTAGTATATAGTAGAGTAGGTAACCTTTAACCTTTTTTGGGTAGTATAGTCCCTATTTTATCCCTATATAACCAAAAGGCTTAACATTTAGTTCCCCATGATACCCGACACTTAGGTAGACGATGCCGAACCTTCAACCTCACATCATGAAGCCCCAACCACAAGCCTGGTGGTCCTAAGGGTCAACAAAAACTAATAATCATCTTACTCTCTTTGTTTCCACTTAGTATTACAAGTATGGCACCTTGTTCAGCATTCGACCGTCAAGTCCTTAAGCCAAAGTTCTACAGGTTCGGAGACATAAACATGATCGAAGAGATAGCCGGACACCCAGAATGCGCGTGGCAGCTGCATCAGGGGCCTAGCTTGAGGCTCATCAGGGTTTTAGTTTTAGGGTCCTACTTGTAGGCCCCTACAGTTGTCTTTAGGGTTTAGAGTGGAGTCGCTCTTGCAGGGCGTTGTGGCTTTAATCCTCTCAGGACAGTTTTCTACCGAAGACCCTTCCGGCTGCCCGGATACTTGAGAATACTTGAAGCTTTGTGTCAGAGGCTGTGGATTTCAAGCCGCCGTGCAAGGAGTGTTGGCCTAGTAAGTAGGGTGAGTCAATGTGTAGATTGTAGAGGTTAGAGCCGATACTAAGTAGACTTACCTGGCCAATGGAGCCCCCAAGCAAGCCTCATACATGTATCTGATTCCATCTCCTGGTCTCTTGTGTGTAGATAGGCGTCGCCAAGGGTCTTCAGCATGCTGCGGTGTTTCTATGTTCAACACTGACATTCGATCGGGGTGTAATGACGGAAGCTCCCTGTCTCTCCCACAGGAACCCCAGTAGGAACCCTTCATGTGGTTTTGGGTTTTGGTTTAGGGTTTGGGGTTTAGGGGTTCAGGATTTAGGGTTTAGGATTTAGGATAGAACCTCGAAAAGGAGCCCTGAGATGAACCGGAAGCAAGTGAAGGAACTTTAACAGGAAGCCCCAGTCCAGGTCGTGGGTCCCCAAGCAAAAAACTCAGCCCCCACCTCGGTGCAATACTGTAGGGGCCTCAATAATTACCAAAACTATTGTGGAGGTTCCTTATTTTAATCATAGTATAAAATGGGCCCAAAAACCCTATTCTAATTATGAAGGCCCCTATAGTACCGTAGTGATCTAAAGGACCCAAGATTTAGGTGACCCCGGATAGTCATTTTGTAATTAAGTAGTTGGAAGTGTGCAAGAGCATCAGAGGCGTGGACCTGTAGGGATGTGGTTTCCTTGCCAATGTCTTAACCGGCTGAAACCTAGGACTAAACCCGAAACCTGTGTTGGTTTTCGGCACCCGCAACTCGACCTGGAACGGGTGTTGATGAGCAGGAGAAGCAAGCAGATGAAGTCAAGCACGCACGCTTGGAGGCGCTCGCGGTTATTGCAGTCAGAAACCACATAAGGAATTAGAAAAGATGTATAATAAGAGGAATTCTAGTGATTATGATATGCCGTGTGTTTCTTTGCCGGGTGGCCTGCTCTTTCGGTGGGATGAGGAACAAGGATTAGCCACACTTCTGTGGTTTAATGCAAAGCTTCTTTCAATCCAATCGCGCTGTGCTACGTCTCTTCTTCCTAGTAGTAGAGTAGGTAGCCTTTAACCTTTCTTGCGTAGTATAGTCCCTATATAATCCCTATGTAACCACAAATCAAAGGTTAACCTTTAATTCCCCAGGATACCCGACAAGTAGGTCTTAAGGGGTCAGTAGACCTCCAAGCTCTCATGAACATGGCAACCCCTAAAGCTCAAGCCTGGCCACCAGTAATTAACTGTCAGAACCTCTGCTTAGGGGCCGGACAAGTAGCCGCTAGCCTTCTCGATGTTATACACCCTTACCAGAATTGACCGTTTTGGGGTCTTAGTACTTGATTTTGGGGTTGTGGGCTGTGGTTTTTGGGGCTTCAATTCGGTTTTATGAAGACTCTACGGTTTGGTGGTTGAGGGTTCGAGCATTAGTCGAGAAGTTGTAGAACTTATGCACCCATTCGGTTTGCATGAGCTCCGTATACAGGAGAGGCCCGGATGTCTTTTTTTGACTTGTGAACTCCACAGTCGAGTTAGAACGCAGCTAAGCTACTTACAGCCTTGTCTCCCAAGTCCGCCGATCCTGCAAGGAAGTTGTTCTAAGAGAAGTATAGTTCGGTGCCTTAACCTGTTCCCACCGAAGTCTAAACGGCCCTGTCAGCCCAACATGAGGCCTGTTGGGATTTGCCGGCGTTTGAGTCGCTTGTAGGGTTGATACAAGCACCTACTACCAGTTGGAACGGAAGATTCATGAAAACTGGAGTTCCCAATGTAGAACCACGCATAGTAGGACAGTAGGAGCCTTGAGATAACAATCTCCCATAGTAGGAGCCCGGAGAACCCAATACCCCTTAATTAAGGAATATACCTCAAATTATAGAGGCCCTAATATTATGATTTAAGGTATATTCCTTAATTAAGGGGTATTGGGATCTCTGGGAGCCTGGCACAGCCTCAAACTGAACCGGAGCCTGTGCTTTGAGGTGAAACTTCGAGAAATGGTCCTCGAGGCTTCGCTGACCTTCGCTCTTGAGAGACTTAGAGAATAAGGATCCTACCATGGGAGAAGCGAAAAATATGGGAGTCTCCGAAAATTAAGGGTACCTTATTTTGGGGGTCCTTACAATAAGGATCCGACTATTTAGGGTACTATATTAGGGTCCCCTATTTTCGGAAAAAGAGCTCCATGATTGCTGGAATTGATGTTTCTCTCGTGCTGTGTCTCGTGTTCTTAAGTGATATCGGGTATGCGGTTTGGTGTTTTGTATGTCTTGGAGTATCAATCGCTATGAACTAGTCTCACTTGGTGACACCTTTCATAGCCATGGGTGTTGGGACAGCAAGCTGGCTTGGTATTCCATACCGAGAGACAGACTTTGGGGTTTGAAATTCGTGGTTTAGGACTGATGTGGGTTACTATCATTCTCGGGATGTGTGGTGGAAGTCAGGTGATACTCTTTGTGAGGGCCGTTTGAGGCTTGGTGTCTTCTCAATTCTGTTTGCAGGGTCTTGTCAGAGTCCTACAAATACATGTGTCGTCTGAGGATCTAATCAGGTTGTGTTCAGGGGTTGTAGCTCAGTTCCTCAACTCTTAACTTTTGAAACCCTTGTGTTCGTGCTTCGGTTTAGTACTAGTCTGACTTGTTGGCCTTGTAATATTTGCTCGGGCATTGGAGTAGCGGTCGCGGGTGATTTCACTGCAAACCCTGAAAGGCCTCAACACCCCGAAGACAACGCTGGGTTGCAAGTTGCAAAGGAATATAGGGACCGAAACAATTGCCAGCACGATTGCTCCTGTGATGATCGAAGATATCAAAGTATGACCTACGTTATCATAGACAAGGCCGGTATCATGCTGCATCCCTGGAGGCCCGGCAACACAACAGCCAACTCCCCCGCGTACATGCATCCCACCTTTGGATCCTTCTTTGGGGTCGGATCGATATTTCGAAAGCTTTAGAAAGTAGATCCCCTAATTTGGGGCCCTATACTACTAAGGGTACTTTAAGGGAAACCCCATTAAGGGATCTACTTTTGGGATCCTTATACACCTGCCTCCCGAAGCAAACTTGAGACTCGGGAAGGTTGTTGCACCGACCGTGGAACGCGCAGTTCGAATGCAAAACCATTGTGCCTCGGTCCAGTTCACATAGGGACCTCCGCATAGAAACGAGAATCAGGATTTGGCGGAGGCTACAGTGGAAAGTGTAGCGAGGGTAATGTAAGCAGGTTTACCTCCGAAATTTCGAGCACTTGTATTCGAGGGATTCTTCAGGTTTTGGGCCCAAACGGGGTGCGAGTCCCAAGCCCTACACCGAAAGGCCTTATAAGCCCTCCGGCTCCGCCTGCGGAGTTTCTTGCTTAGAGGCCCAAGCGACGTAGTCGGGTTCTAAATAGGGTTTTGAGTACCCTACATACCCTACATGGAGTTAATCCTAAACCCTAAACCGTACTAAGTCCCCCGAGCCTAGAAGTGGAGGGGAGCCGGTCACGGGCTCAGGCCTTGCCCCGTGGGCCCCAGGGTCTGGTTCCCAGAGAGCCTAAGGGGCCACTTAATTAAGGAATATGGCTTAAGGCCTAGGGGTTCCTTAAAGGGATCTATAAGGGCTCTATAAGGGGAATTAAGGAATATGGCTTAAGTTATATAGCGCTTCATATTATGATTTAAGCTATATTCCTTAATTAAGGAATATGGCTTAAGTTATATAGGGCTTCATATGATGATTTAAGCCATATGCCTTAATTAAGGGGCCCCTTGGGCTCTCTGAGTTCCTATAGTAGGGTCCCTAATATGATTTAAGCTATATTCCTTAATTAAGGGGTATTGGGCTCTCTGGGTTTCTGTGAGTCAAAGATTTCGAGAAAGCACTGGTCGTGCAATGCGCCGGGGGTCCAGAGGTGCGCCTGGCCCGTTTAACGTTTGCTCGCTGAGTCTGTAGGGTTTAGGGTTTAGGGTTTAGTATTCCCTAATTGTCCAGGTACATGTAAAGTTTGTCTTTACGGCAAGAAGGGATCCATAACTTCGTACTCCAATGGCTACTGTAAGCTTTTGACCTATTGGTAATTACAACAGGTATTGATGTCAGTGTTCGCTTTAGGTCTTGTGGAAGTAAGGTCAAGGTTCATTGGCTACATCTTCCTGCGGGAGGTGTAACATCTACAGAGTCCCAGGTGCACCCTTTTTGCGCATGAAGTTAGCAGCAGCACTGATTGGACCCACGTCGCTTCGCCGGTTGAGTTTCGGTTCGGTTCTGATTAGTTGTGCTGCCCAGCTCACCCGAGCAGTGCCAATGATGACCGACTCCTTGATTTGCAGGAAGTGTTGCTCGCTGCTTCTGCTTGTTGTGGCAGTCCGTGTGTGCTTCAAGAACACCTCGACCTCTCTGACTCTTGCAGCATCACCGTCTGCACTGTCGCAGCAGGTCTTGACCCTGCAATCGCAGAACCTTCTGACGGTTGCCGACCTACTCAAGCACACCATCCACGACAAAGAGGCTGAGTCATTGCCGACTCGCATAAGGGATCGAGTCAACACCTTGTCGCGAAGCTGCAGCTCGCTCTGTGCCAGTATCGACACCTTACCTACATCGTTGAGAGTTAAAGATGCTGTGACGAATCTGCAAGAAGTGGCTGATTTGGCAAGCGGCAAGAAGGAGGACAGAAAGAAGAACAGAAAGCGCATCATGAGAAGGCTTGATGAGGTCGACTTGGACCTGGAGGAGGCTTCGGAAATTTTGCAGAAGCATACGGCAAAGGTCCAGAAGGTAAAGGCCGAGTTCGAGGAGCTTGCAAACCTGATGCTTGCCTTCGCCGACAAGAAAGAGACAGATCGGGAAAACTGGCACGGATTTTTCGATCGTGTGTGGGTTAATCTGTCTCGGAGCGGGGGCAGCAATTGGCTTTTCTGCGGCTGCAGCAGAGGCGGCGATTGCGGCCGAAGGAGTTGCAATGGCAGAGGCTGCAGGCGCAACAGCGGGGGTAGGGGCTGCCACTGCCGTCTGTGGAGCAGAAGGTTGCAAAAAAGTGATTGATTGGCTCCAGGTGAACCTTGAAAGCGTTCGAGAATATCAGAACGGCCTTGAGACGGCTTCCGATATCATCGAGCAGTATCGCAGCGATGTGGGCAGATTTCAACGTCGGATGGAAAGATCTCTGATGCCTGCCCTGGATGAAGATGATTACACGGATGTTGAAAGATCGTCTAAGAAACTCGCTGCAAGCCTGCTGGAATTGTTGTAGCACCATGGCGAAAGCTCTAGTTGCGGCAGGCAACTGTAACGGATCACATTATGACCATTGAATGTGCATATCGTCTTCCGCGAGCAAGGCCACAGCGGATTGTGGTTGCTCAATGCCGATGTCGCACGGGGAGTTACAAAAGTGATGGCTTGTTCTGATTTTTGACCACATCACCTTCGATGCAGTCGCAGCAGTCAAGCTGCACAGCAAGCATCCTCTAGCCCGATGTCGCAACATAACGAGCCCACAAAGCACGAGGGCTCAATCCTGTCATGTCCATGTTCGCTCCGTGCCAGGTACGACAGATCAGCCGCGCTCCATGAGTGCGCCACCCTTGTCGCTGCGGTTCTCGTTTTTGTGGTCGTCGCTGCATCGTCGTGTCTTTATTGTCGTTGTGCAAAGTTGGTGTTGGCGCTGATGTAAGTGATAACTAGTTTACTTGCGACTTGTTGACCACAACTATGATTACTATGCTGTTCCTGAAGACAATGCCAGTGTCGACATTGTTCACGGTGATGGTGTTGATGTTGACTCGAATGTCATGTTAGCAACGGTGATTACTGTCGTTCGACGGTGGTCGTGATGTAGACGGTTGAGATGTTGGGTGGTCAGGACTTACTGATAGTGTTGTGGCTAATATTGGTTGCTGGGTGCAACTCTATTCATACTACTTTCAGTAGCTGTTTCTGTTACTGTAATCGTGGCGATTTAGCACTCACTAAGCCTCTAAGCATGCACCCAAGAGTGGCCGGGATCTGTCAAAGGTGACCACCTGGCCAAGCGCATAGAGAGTCAGCATAGTGTGCTGCCGATGCCTCAGGAGTTCCAAGGCTAAAGAGACTTTTCGACCCCTTCCTCCAGGCTTTAGGGTTTAGGGAGTACCATAGACTCCTCCCAGCCCCACAGATGAAGATCCAAAGATGATCTGCAGGAATTTGCATGATTTGGGGTCTCCAGCAGCCTTTTCATGTCCAACAAGCCTGGGCCAGTTAAAGGTTTGCACACACTTCAAACCCACAAACAACCAATGATTGCATACTCGTCTCAGCTGTAGGGGGTTGCTCGCATCGTCGGAAGGTCACATATCGGCGGGTCTGAATTCTAAAAGTGGCATGGTTTGCGACGTTTTAGACTATGACTCAAACCCTTAGCCTGCAAAGCCGGCAAGAAAACGAAACCCAAAATCCCAAACAACTTAAACCGCTAAACCTGATTAATTATCAGGTCGAGGGGGAAGGTTCTAGGATCTGGAAGGTTTCGGGTTTCGGACTACTCTTGTCCTGAACCCCATGAGGCTGGGAATGGCCCTAAACCTGACCTTAACTGGACCATGGTAACTATGCGGGGGTTGCGTTTTTTTGGGCGTGGCCTAGTGTTCTCGAGACGTCCGGCTCTCAAACATCTTTGCTGTTAGTTCCTTCGCCCTCATAGTTTCGCATTGGGTTTCGGTGATTTCAACAGTTCCTTGAAGGATTCTGTAGAACATTGCCTTACACGGGTGCCGAGTTCAAAGGGTTTAGGTTTAAGGCTCTATGGAGCCATGATTTAGGCGACATCCAGCTGCGCGAGCAATTATGCATAATGCTTACATTAAAACTAAAACTCTGCACGGATCGGTTTTGAGAAAAGCTCAACACCCTTTACGCCCCGTGCAAGCGACACACTGCGCCCTACCTGAGGTCTTGGTGTGAGGTTGTTTGTTGAAAGTCTTCGTAATCTTTCGGGATCTATGGTCAAAGGGGCGGGGGACAGGGTTCGGTCAGCTGGCTTTAGGGCTAAGGGTCCTGCTTCAGGGGACTACTTGCAGGCCCAGGCGACTTAATGAGTCGGCTATAAGTAGGGTTATACTTGGTGTAACTCCGTTGAGGGTACTTACAACTTATAACCCTACATTATGACCTATTTGCTAAGTTCTCTGGGCGTCTAAGTAGGAATGCCAACTCCGCGATCTGAGACCCAAGTCTTTGGCAGCTACGGTTTTTCGGAACAGGGTTCAGTTGTTCATACCGCGGCGAATATTTGAGAAGCTCTGGAGCTGGAAGGGGCTAAGAGCCATCTTGTGAATTTGAACATCGGGCCTTCCATGCTCCTGACTTGAGGCGGATGACTAGAATGTTAGTCAAACGTAGTTAACCACAAGAAAAAGAATAACAGCATCAACTGTAGCACAGTGGTAGGCAAAAGCGGCATTAATTATTCTAGGACCTGTATGACGGAAGCATGAGCCTAGGACCATGATGGCCAAAGACGTGACCACGGCGATGGTCCTTGCCTGAGTCACGTGAAGACGGAAGGGTGTGTGTGTGTGTGTGTGTGTGTGTGTGTGTGTGTGTGTGTGTGTGTGTGTGTGTGTGTGTGTGTGTGTGTGTGTGTGTGTGTTTGTGTTTGTGTTCTTTGTCTGTGTGTCTGTCTGTGTGTGTTGCGCGTGTGTGTTTGTGAATGTGTCTGCCTCTGTGTGTGTGTGCTGGTGGGGAAGCTGTCAAATTCGAGCTGCACGGTACTGTGAGGTAGCCCGCACATCGCTAGTTACGCCCCGAAGCCATGAGCCGATGCTGGAGTCTACTTGTGCACTCATGGCGAGGTGGCGGCGACGGGTGGTAGTGAAAATGATGGCAATGGTGCTTCTGTAGTCCTGTGGGTATGGTGGCGCTGACGATGACGATGTTGCCGGGTATTACCATTGTGATGGCGAAGCTGGTGAGGATCGGATGAGCTGCCTCAAGCCTGCGAAAACCACAATGAAGGCCCCACCTTAATACACAGTCCGCCCATCCTGCACATGAATCCCTACCCTCTTGGGTTTAGGTAGTAGGTACCGCCCCCCACACCCCAAAAACCTGCCCTACTTAGAGGCCCAGGGGATTTAGTAAGTAGGTTATAAGTAGGGTCGTAAGTACCCTAAAGGGAGTTACCCCAATTCTAACCCTACTTATAACCGACTTACTAAGTCCTCTGGGCCTCTAAGTTTACTCTTAGGCCGTTCAGACTTGAGTGTCTTTTCCCCTAAGCAGTTGCAGGCTGCCCCTATTTCCGCGCAAGGGTACCCTTACTTGGGAGTGTCCGAAAATGGCGGACCCTAATATAGTACCTTGAATAGTAGGATCCTTATGCTGAGGACCCCAAAGTAAGGTACCCCCTTATCTTTCGGAAACTCTTTTATGGCCCATGAGTTCCAGGGGAGCCAAAAAAGTTTTGTACTCTAGGAGAAGCTGGGTCTCGTTGGCGAGTTCAAGAAACTTGGCGGGAGAAACCTCGACGGTTCGGAGTTCGTGTTAAAACTTCTCAGGAGGGCACTTAGTAGGTACGCGTAAGTAGGGTTATAGTTGGGGTAACTCCATTCAGGGTACTTGCAACCCCATCTTAAAAATCGTTTAAGGGCTCCTTGAAAAGATCCTTGTAAGGGCTCCTTTGGAGGTTCCTTTATGGGAACCTTTACTTGGAGGGTCGGGGGACTTAGTAAGTAGTTATTTCAGGGACTTATAAGTACCATAACCCCAGTTAGGGCTCCTTTTAGGGTACCTATAAGTCTACTTACTACCTACTTAACATGTCCCCCGACCCTCCAAGTAGAGTCGCCTAAAACTCACTGCGGGGGGTTATTGGACTTTCACAATGCGTGAGGTTTGCGGATCCAGATGTCTACCGCGGTACTGGCCCTTGCACCCTTAGGTCATACTTTAAACCCTAAAATCCTTGTACACGCAGCACTTAACCAAGTTCGGTCTGCATTCTTCATGTGCTTGCGAAGTCCCCTGCCTCTTCAAGCAGCAGAACTGAAAACAACCCCCTGCCCAGCAGTCAAGAAATCGGGGCAGAGTTCCGTGTAGGTTCCTTTCCGGACTTTGCTCCTTCAAGTTTTCCGTGAGGGCTCCTTTCCGGGTTTCGGCGAAGGATGTTTTGAGGCCCCTAGAATGATGTGCGTGTAGGGATTGGAGTTTGGAGTGAGGGTTTAACTCTCATTTCGAAGCCCCGCAACCTCATTCACGTAGGGCTTCTGTGGGGATTTGGTGAGTGGTCAGACAGCTCCTTAAGATGATCAGTGACTCTACGTTTGGGCTGCCTTTGGGGAGATCACTAGCTATCTGACACTTTTCTCATAAACAGTCTTCTCACAATGATCCCTCCCGTTATAAAAGCCCTTCAGAAAACCACCCGCCGAATTCCTCAATCGCAGCGAAAAGTACCCCGTTAGCCCAGAGCCTCGACCCCTATAGCTCCGTAAACTGCTACCACTCTTAAGTATAGTATAAGGGGGCCCCTAAAGGGAACTCCAGAAAGTTGGAATATGGATTAATGGTAGGATCCCCTATAGTTTACCTTACAGGGGTTACGATAATGATATTCCAACTTTCTGGCTTCTACTGTAAACCCTGTTCTAATTATTCAGCCCCCCCTATACCGCTAAACCCTAAACCCTAAACCCCTAAACTCTAAACCCCTAAACCCTAAACCCTAAACCCCTAAACCCCTAAACCCCTACATAAACCCTAAACCCTAACTTAACACTCTTACCCGATGCACTCGGAAAAGGAAACAGCTCGATGACTTCTGGGGCAGTCAGAAGGACTTGGAGGCGATGCCCTTTATCTAGCATATAGCATATAGTATAGAGTATATAGTAATTGGATAGTGTATAGTATATAGTACGTAGTATACATATAGTGTATAGTAACAGTATAAAGTATATAGTATAGAGTATATTACAATATTTTTATATGTATATGTTTATACACACACACACTACAAACACCTTCTTCGGGATACTTGGGGTTTTGGGTTAGGGCTTCAGGGTTCCAGGCGTTCCTGAACAGGTTCCTCCCACTGGGCTTTCTATAGGGGCTTCAGAAGGACCTGAGTTCGAAGGGTTTCAGAGCTTCAGGTTGAGGAAGCAGGGCTTCCAGTTTTCTTGAGCTTCCGGGTGCACATGGGTGGTTGTCAAAATTAGGGTCCCTTTCTGGGTCCCTAGTATAGTACGTCATCTCATATCCACACACTCGTTTTGAGGGTTGGATCCTTGGGGGCTGGATCAGGGGGGTTTGAAGGCCAAAACCAATTTCCTCAATAGTGCAGTTCAATATACCGATTTAAGGTTTCAAGCTGTTGTAGTATTAGCTTATTTATGTATTTTATTAGGAATTTCAGTGCCGGGGGCACGGCCGTTGACCAAAACATTTTAAAGCACACTGGGAAGCCAGCGTGAGGAAACCCTTTTTTGCCAAACATTTTTGCATTTGTCCAAGCCGGATGTATTGAGCGATGGTGTTCGCTTCTGTCCAAGCCGGATGTGTTGGAAGCTGAAACGTGGTCCTTTGTCACGTGCCACTGCTTGGTTGGCTTGGTTGCTTGGTTGGCTTGCTTGGCTTGCTTGGCTTGCTTGGCTTGCTTGGCTTGGTTCGACTCGCCCTACCCATCCTGCACGCCCCAGCTCAGAGTGGTCTTAGAGACCGCTCCAGTCGGGCTCGGACCACGTGAGCAATGGGTCCTTGATCCGTGCGGGACAGCGTCGCTGGCCGGGCGCTGGGGATTTACTCTGTGTGCTGCTCGCCTGTCCAGCCAGGTGGTGTGTCCGCCGCGGGGTGAAATGCACACAGATTGCAGGGAAGGCCTCGCTACTATTAATAAATACTATGCCACGTACCCACACCACGGTCGAAATATTAACTTCGATCACTGCTGCTTGCCGGCATGGCCCCGCATGGCATCTTATGCTGTGCCTCATTGACAGGTCTTCAGTAACCGGCGCGTCGCGCAGCGATTCCGGTGCACTCGATGACGAGCATGACCTGTCCTCTTGCGGGCCGGTATGCAAGGCAATTGGATTTCAGCGCTCCGCATAGGGCAAAGAAGGCAAGCACGACGTCCAAGGCCCTGATTTGCCGGCGCATACTCAGCAGGGTGACCCCATCTTGGCCGAATGGGGGTGGCATTTAAAGAAGTCTCCAGTCCGCATGACTGTCAGAGCACACTCGTGTTTGCAAAGACGCTGGGGAGGCCGTTACTGTGTCGGCATGGCATTGCTTGGCTTGGTTGATTCGATTCTGCAGTGGCATCAATTCTGGTAGCATCAATCAATTGTGGTAGTCAGCATGGCATTGCTTGGCTTGGTTGATTCGATGCTGCAGTGGCATCAATTCTGGTAGCATCAATCAATGTCAATGGTGGTAGTCAGCATGGCATTGCATGGCTTGATTGCTTCGATTGTTGCGGTGGCATCTGATTCGATTTTGCGGTGGCATCAATTCTGATACCATCAGTTCTGGTAGCAGCAACTGTGGTAGTCAGCATGGCATTGCTTGGCTTGGTTGATTCGATTTTGCAGTGGCATCAATTCTGGTAGCATCAGTTCTGGTAGCATCAATTTGTCAATTGTGGTAGCAACAATTGTGGTAGCGCTAATTGTGGTAGCATGATTTGCGGTAGTATAACTATTGTGGTAGCATCAATGGCAAGGTCTGCCTGGCATGTTTTGACAGAGCCGGGGGGGGGGCAGGGCTGGCATGAAATTTGCATTTTGCCAGGTGAAGTCGTTTCAGAAGGCATGTGAGTGATATTTGCGCGGAAGGCTCAGTGAGTGTGTGTGTGTGTGTGTGTGTCAGCTTGCTTGGTGATTGATTGTGAGCCCCTTGTAACCTAATGCTGCAGTTCTGGCTCAAGTTGTGCTATGTCGAGTGTGGCCCTCCAGCATCTCCCTGAGGAATTGTGTCTCGAGGAGCAGGGCCAGGATCTCCGGAAAGCACAGCAAGCAATCTACTTGCTCTATTTGCTCTGCCCGAGAAAGGCTGGTGATCTTGTGACACCTGCAGTACATTTCAGACAATTTCCAATTGAGAATAATTTGCTACCTGACATGTCATTGTTTCAATGCAACAACATTTGAGGAGATCTTTCAAACGGGGAAGAGACGGCATCCAGAAACCAGAAGCCTGGATTCTGTCAGCCTGTAACAAGAACGTTAGAGAGCACTTTGGCAAAGATTGATGCAGCCCTTTTTTTTGGCGCTTAAGCTTTCATCATTACAATTCCGTGTTCATTCGAGGCACAATCAAAGCTTGGGGATAGTATACAGCCAATTCGATGTCGGGAACTACGGCAGCAAGAAAGCAGACGCCTCAACGAAAAGTTCCGGTGACTTGGGGCGAGGCAAAGAAGAAGACGACTCGGACGATTGGGGACGCAAGTGGAAGGACCCCGAGAGAAACAAGAGACCACGAACCGGCTATTGATGCTACTGATGATGTGAGCTCTATTGACAACCCGAGCTCTTCGGCAGCTGCTTTCTGCTCCAACACTTCGAGGTCAGTTTTCCTGGGCGGCAAAACCTACGTTTGGCCGAAGAGAGTGGTGATCGTTGGTTATGGGGTTGCCCACCATGGAAATCGTCCATCACCTCAGATGGCAGACTTGTTGGAGAGGTTGGACAAGGAATGTCACTTTTCTAACACATGGGAGGTTCGCTTGCAGAAGTCAATGCACGTGAAGAAGCTTCATGACATTTGTACATTTTTCATTCCTTTCAGTTTCACTCAATTGACAATTGAGGGCAGTGACAGTGACAGTCATGGATGGAAGCCAAGGGAGGCCGAAGGAGGAAGGTTTGGCAGAGAATGTGGCCTATACCAGCATATCATGGAACAGGTGCCTGGTCGAACAGGTGTTGCTTCATGAATCGAGTTGTATAATAATTAATTTTAATTTTAATAAGAATTCACCCTAATGACCGAGGTGTATAGTCATCCCGCAGCGCTCAAGACGCTCCACTTCATCCTCAATTTTCCCGACAAGTTGCTCAGGCTTCTCGAGTCTTTGAATGCTGAAGGTCTTGGAGGTTTTTTTTAGGTTCAGGGACTAGGATAATTATAACCCTCCTATGTGGTCCTTCAATTGTCAGGATCTGCTGTTCGGCGGGATGGCACAGGACGTGTGCCATGATTGCGTTGGTCATGGCTCTCTTCCAAGTCGCTGTGCTGAATTGACTCATTGGTCCAGGTGACACTCAATTGTCTAGTTTTTGTAAGTATATCAGCTGTCAGTGCAGGTCTGTGGCATCGAATGCGTCGCATGGTTCGACACTTTAGTCCAGAAGCACAGAAACAAAGATCACAGTGCCATCGCTGCCGATCAACAGCACATTATCGACTTCGCCAATGGCCATCACGTGTCGCTGAGCAGCTTCAGATTTTCGAATGTTGTTTTGAGGTTGTAATATGTAAATATTTAAATGCAATCCATGGTTCTGCCAAAGTGTGCATCAGGAAGCAGAAGCATCTCCTGCCGTCCATTGGTTGGTCGTCGGATGAATGGAAGGCAGCATTGCAAAATGCTTGGAACACATGGACCGACCAATTTGCAAATCAGACTGATTGGGCTTCCATTCAGATGTGCCTGGACTCGAATTCCGCATTGATTTGATTTGCAGTCTGCCCTGTAGTGCCAACACGTACCACTTTGACTCAGGAACTTGAAAACAAGAATGGTCAAGGACAAGCAGGAACATCCCGTGGACCTACCTGCCAGGACATTTCAGAAGCTTCAGAAGCGAAATCAGAAGACGAAGTCAAGAGGAACTGCTGCAGCAGCAGCAGCTGGGAGCAACACTACATTTTCGCTTCAGCTTCAAGAATAAATAATAACATTTCAGTCACAATTGACATCCTCAATTGAGTGTGTGTGTGTGTCGTCTTCAATGCAAAGCATTTGAGGTGCTGCCAGATGCCAAAAGAGCACGAAACTGCTCCGCGTGAGATCCCGGAGACAGATGTCGATGACGCCACAAGAGGGGGTGGTGATCCTGCATCCTCCAGTTCTGCTACTCCGGCTTTTGCCAGGCCACCAGTGCCCGCTCCAGAGTGGCTTCCTTCAGTTTGGACCAATGATCCAAAAGCATCACCAGCAAAAAAAACAAAAGCCAGGGCAACAGCATCAACAGACGAGCCAGGGGCAGGACCAAAAGCAGGAGCACCACCAAAAGCAAGACCGCCAACAAAAAAAGGGGCATCAGCAGAAGTAGGGGCAACGGCAAAAACAAAGCCAGCACCTCTTACGAAAAGCATGCCTGCAAAGCCGAAAAAGCCGGCTGCAAAGCCGCCAAAGCCGCCAGTGTCAGTGGTTGAGGTTGATTCTCCAGAGGGTGTGCCGGAACCGAAAGATCCGCCCAAGTCTCGTCCGTTACATCCAAGGGATGCACGTCTGGCAGCAACACATCCAGTTCAACCTGCCTTTCCTCCGCCGGCGCCAGCAAACCCAACACTTCCGATGATGACGGCATGTGAGATGGCTGTTGGGGAATGCTTTCAGACATTCCTAGGTGGTGGTGCTGCACTGCCGAGCAACAGTTCAGCTCGATCTTCAATTGAGAACATGGTGTCGAGTTTGGCGAATGCTGTGTGGGAGAGGCTGCAGCCAAAACTTGTGGAACTTCAATTCATGTCAACACTTGAGCACAGTGTTCCACTGGCACCTGCCGGTGCGCTGGCGGACCTCACAGCGTGGAATCCGAGTCTTCCTGAGAAGTCGGAGCCCTACAAGGCTGAGCAGGAGCAAATCGACCAGGAGGCGGAAGAGGAGGAAGCAGAG